ATTAATTTAACAAACAAAAAAAAAAGTATGCCCCCCCCCCCCTTTATACACAGGAGATATGTTCCCAGACTTTACATAGACATACAAACCACAATAGTAAACATAACTGAAATGAAGGACTTCTATACCAGAGTCATACTGGAGAACTGGAGAACTTAGAAAATGCCTAGAGATGACATATTTTGTTGGTCATTGAAAAATGAAAATGTGGATATAGAGGTCATATTATATAACTTCGGTTAAATATGAATTTGTGCTTTTGAAATATTTTGTTAGCACATGTCAGACTGAGTAGTAAAACATTACACTGGCCACTAGGCATGTGCAATCCATGGTTCTAAATGGTTCTAAAGTACTTACAAAACTTAAGTTCTGGTTGTGAAAACTAGGGGGTGCTGGTGCTTTGCTTCTACAGTGTTGCTAAAATTCTGGTGGTGAACATTTCAGAACTTTAACAAAACTTCCAAAATTTCATTATGATTTCATTATTGGTGATTTTTATGACAGAATCTATTAGGAACTGCCATTTATAATGAAATTTTGAAAGTTGTGTTAGAGTTCTGAAAGTTTCACCACCAGAACTTTAGAAGCAAAGCACCAGCGCCCCCTAGTTTTCACCACCAGAACTTTAGTTTTGTAAGTACTTTAGAACCATGGATTGCACATGTATACTAGCCACACATATTTTGGTACCTCAAATGTTAGGCCTGTTTCTGGGTATATTTAACCTGTTGATCCCAAAAATGGAACCAGTTTTTCCCTAAACTCTAGTTTCTGGGATACAGAACATATGCCATGCCAGTCGTCATCTGCTGCCAATAGAAAATAATGATAACCATATCTAAGAAACCAGAGCTGATGCGGTCTATCTAATACAATACAATCTGTGCCCCAAAAAACCCCAGGAACAGGTCTAAAAACCAAGAAAAATGTTTTGTAGAACTGTGTTATCATCCAAGAAACTTTTAAAAAGTCAAGAAGGAATAGTTCAGCTTTCCTTAAAACAAAACAAACATGTGGGATATTAATATGCTTAAACTCTCTTTTTATATTAATAATAGGCTCAACCAGTTCCAGATGAAGCTGTCAAAAAAATCCTTGGCAACAAGGCCACATTCAGCCCCATTGTGACTGTGGAGCCGAGAAGAAGAAAATTCCATAAACCAATCACCATGACTATTCCCGTGCCACCCCCATCAGGGGAAGGGATAACGAATGGATACAAAGGCGACACAACACCCAGCCTTCGACTACTGTGTAGTATTACAGGTTAGACCATGGGTGGAATACCTCCTCCTTTTCTCTCACTGGAAATCTCTTGGGGAGTCAGGTACTGGCAGTTGGTGGCACCTAAACCAGTGATCGATTGCATCCCTATCTTCTTTCTCTTGTTTTGCTTTCCAGTGGCAATATATGACTGAGCATGGGAGTACCTCATGTCTCCTAAGCAAGACCAGGCATGGTCCTTCTATTCAAACTATAAGCATTTAGTGCTTTAGTCATTAGGCCAAGAGGATTGTCCAGCCTTGAATTAAGAATTAAGAAATTGCATCCATAGTTACTCACCAGATATCTCTAAATGACTGCCACAGCAACATGACCCATACAGTTACATCTATATAAATAAAAATGTAATGTTCGTTTGTGGGATTAACAAAACTCAAAAACCGCAGGGCGAATTGACCCCAAAGTTGGACACAAGACACAAACCAAAGCAATCTATGTCCTCCACTCAAAAAAACAAAAAAAAAACCCCGGAAAGAACTTAAAACCCCCCAAAACCAAGAATACGCGCATGTGTGAATGCCCCCCCCCCCACGTGAAGGAAATACAATGCACCAACTATCCGTTCAAGCTGCCAATCCCTGCTGGCACCGAGTGAGGCTTAGCCATGGGTTCATGCTGCAGCTCAGACACACAGTAGAACGGATGCAGTTTGGCCCCACTTTTAACTCAATACAATGGGGTCCTGGGAGCTGTACTTTCATGCGGTCTTGCTGAAGCCATCTCTGCCGAGGAGGACTGGTCCCCCGCCAAACTATGGATCCCAGGATCCCACAGCAGTGAGCCGTGCTTTTGGGCCTACCCCCCTCCGCCACGCCAGAGCCTCGCATGGGCCCTCCTTACCTCCCTTTCAGTCTCTGTTTGGGCCCCACCAAACATAGACTCCCTCCTCCTTCTTTTTCCCCAGTGAGGCAAGCGGGTGGTTGCTCCATGCGGGCACAGTTTGTCCGACTTCGCCTTCTCTTGCCTGGGCACCGACGTGAAGGGAGCTTTGCAGCCCTCAGCCTTGCTGAGCCCGGCAGGGGTGGGAGGCATTTTTTGAGGTGGGCCTTGCTCACCCAGCACTAGCCCCTTCTTTCTGCCACAGACGCAGGGCCTTTCATGTGACCCTATCTACATACCCAACCAGCAAACAGGCGGAAAGGTGCCCCGCAGCCATGGCAGAAAAAAGAAGGGGTGTGTGAGCGAGGCCTGCCTCAAAAAGCGCCTTCCGACTGTCCCACGCCTGGCCCAGCAAGGCCGAGGGCGGCGAGGCTCCCTTCCTGCCAGTGCCCAGGCAAGAGGTAGAGAAGGGAAGAAGGAACGAGGGAGAGAAGAAAGTAGAGAAAGAAAGAGGGTGGGAAAGAAAGCAGGAAAGAGAGAAGGAGGGATGGAAGCAAAGAGCAAAGGAAGGAAGGAAAGAAAAAAAGAGGCAGAGAAGGAAGAAAGGAGAGAAAGAAAGAAAAGAAAAGGGAGTAGGGAGGAAAGAAAGGAAAGGAAAAAAGGAAGGAAGGAAGGCGAGAGAGAAAGAGGGAGGGAAGGTTGGCCACAGCGTGGCGGTACAGGTAGTACAAAACAAAGCATAGAGAAAGCAAAAGAGCCCTTCAGCAAATTTCAGATCCATGTAAAGTTTTTTAAAAACATATCTGACTTGTGCTTTTTTCACTTCTTAGGAGGTACTTCACCGGCTCAGTGGGAAGACATAACAGGAACCACGCTGCTGACCTTCGTGAATGATTGTGTTTCTTTCACAACCAACGTTTCAGCCAGGTATAGTAAAAGCAAAGTAAAGCAAATTATCTTTCATGATGCTTTGCACATATATGACAACGCTTAAAGTGATTTCAGTGATATGCATGAATATATCTAGGTCAACATCCGGGCCCCTATTTTTTTAACTGGGACATTTGAATATGAACAAAAATATGGTCATTTATATAGATTCAGAAATTGAGGTGCTTTTAAAAAAATCTGCATCTGTAGTCTTCTCAGATGCTAATAATCCACATTACCTGGTGTTGTTTGGAAAGTAGAACTATGTTGCTATAGTAGTCAGCGACACTTCTTGATTTCCAGACTTAGTACAAACCACTGGCCATGAGCAATTTTGACAGCTTTTTACTTGATTACATCAAACCAGTTCCCTGTTTTTCTACTTGTTGTAACAATTTCTCCGTAATTAATATTGTTCAGGTTACTCCACAAGCTTTTACCATTGGCTATTCTGACTGTGTCTGATGAGAGCTGTAGACCAAAAATATCTGTAGGGTCAAGTTGTCCACTTCTGCTAGTAGATGTTTTGAGGGATGTAAAGTAAAACAGTAATACACACCCATTTGTTATGGAAACCAAACATCTATTCAGCCTTTAACTTAACACTGTATGAATTGGATTTCTGTCACCTAATAACAAGCACTTTTGCATTTTTTTATTTATCCAGATTTTGGCTAGCAGACTGCCATCAGATTGGCGAAACTGTTGGGCTGGCCACACAGCTTTATAGGGAATTAATATGTGTTCCTTACATGGCCAAGTTCGTAATTTTTGCCAAAATGAACGATGCCGTGGAATCCAATTTGCGTTGCTTCTGCATGACGGATGATAAAGTTGACAAAACTTTGGAGCAGCAGGAGAATTTTGAAGAAGTTGCAAGAAGCAAAGATATTGAGGTATGTCATAATCCAACAGTCATGGCACTTCATTATAACCCTTTTTTGGGAAGTTTTTTTTATTAAAAAAAATGAAACAGGAACAAGAACACAACATTACATAGAAATCTGAGTTAACCAAGTTATAGATTGTATTCTAGTGAATCGTGTTCATTTTTCTTAAGTCATTGCTGTTCTCAACCTGGATTTTGTTGTTCATGTCAGCTGTTTCAAGCACTTTGATCGGCTAGGTGATTGCACAGCTTTATTCAAAAACGCCAATACAGTCAGCCTTTTGTATCTGTGTAATCCATATCTATGAATTCAACTATCCATGACTTGAAAATATTTTTCAAAGCAAACCTTGATTGTACTATTTTATATAGGAGAGACCATTTTACTATGCCATTGTCTATAATGGGATTTCAACATCTATGGGGGTGGAGGTTGGTCCTGAAACCAAACCAAACTCATCCTCTTCAACAAAAAAGAACATAGTCTTCTCTTCTGACATTAAAACTGGTAGCGATGTATTCCCGTGTTGTCTCATGTTCTATCTGCTTTCTTTTCTGTATGCTTATATTAAAGGTCATCTTAATTATTCTTATTAGTTTATTATTTAATCACTTTTAACTAATTTTATCTATTGCCATATAAATCTAAAACATTAATTTCATTTGGTTCTTGTGGGTTTTTTCGGGCTATAGAGCATCCTCAGAGGTAGTGAGGTTTGTCCTAATTCCAACAGACCTCACACCTCTGAGGATGCTTGCCATAGATGCAGGCGAAACGTCAGGAGAAATGCCTCTAGAACATGGCTCTATAGCCCGAAAAAACCCACAAGAACCTAGTGATTCCAGCCATGAAAGCCTTCGACAATACATTAATTTCATTTGTTAGTAAATTAATATGTGTAGGGGAGAGTTTACTATGTTACATTGTCACCCTTTCTTCTTCTTTTGAACACTACACATACTATATATATTGGATTGTGTGGTTTTAACCATTGGTTTTAATGCTTAGATTTTTTTAACTTTTAATATATACATTTATTTTATTTTATGTCTGTTGATGTGGCATTGAATTGTTGCCTACTTGTAAGCTGCTCTGAGTCCCCTCCGGGATGACAGAGGGTGGGATATAAATAAAGTGTGCATATATATATATATCAATAACAAAGCTTGCAAACATTTATATTCTAATTAAAGAATACTAACACATCTATTGTCCAAAGTCTCTTGAATGTAAAGTATATAGATTAAAGAAAATATATTGTCGAAGGCTTTCATGGCTGGAATCACTGGGTTGTAGGTTTTTTCGGGCTATATGGCCATGTTCTAGAGGCATTCTCTCCTGACGTTTCGCCTGCATCTATGGCAAGCATCCTCAGAGGTAGTGAGGTCTGTTGGAACTAGGAATATGGGTTTATATATCTGTGGAATGACCAGGGTGGGACAAAGAACTCCTGTCTGTTGGAGCTATGTGCTTAGTATGGCTTGTTGGTGCCTGGGGCAATCTTTTGTTGAGAGGTGATTAGATGTCCCTGATGGTTTTCTCTCTGTTGTTTTACTGTTGTAATTTTAGAGTTTTTTTTAATACTGGTAGCCAGATTTTTTTATAAACTCAATTTTCCTAGTTCCAACAGACCTCACTACCTCTGAATATGCTTGCCTTAAATGCAGGCGAAACGTCAGGAGAGAATGCCTCTAGAACATGATCATATAGCCCGAAAAAACCTACAACAACCCAAAATATATCTATATACAATCAATATTGTTTTTAGTCAAAAATCCTGCAGTGGGCATTTTCTTCTCTTTCTTTATAAATTCCATAAAGGGTTTCCATTCTTCTCGAAGTTTCAGTGTATTTGTTTGTTTTAAAGCTAAAGCTAATTTCTCCATTTTGAACATTTCAATAAACTTTGTAATCCAATCTCCTGATGTTGATATGTTTTGCTATTTCCATAGTTTTGCATTTTCAATTCTTGCTGTTGTTGTCAAATAAAGAAATATTCTTTTTTGATCTTTCAGTGTAGCTATAGCCTTGGCTGCTCCCCCATTCCCCCCCGCCCCCCAGAAACATACACTAAAAGCACCTATGTGATGGACTTGTGTTAAAATGCTCCTTTCAGTATGGGTTGTAAATTTTATAGCTGAGATGCACTTTGGTTACTGTGGATACTTTGAATACTGGAATCGCTCTGACCAGTACCTTCTTGACCCAACAGGTTTTGGAAGGAAAGCCTATCTATGTGGACTGCTATGGGAATCTGGCCCCTTTGACAAAAGGAGGACAGCAGCTAGTATTTAATTTTTATGCTTTCAAAGAAAACAGACTGCCATTTTCTATCAAGGTAAAATGTAACCATTGGAATAGTCATGGGTTTGCAATCACTGTAATAATATGGTTGTAACTTTTTTGTGTGCTACTTGCCATTGCGTTTCAGGCTTTCTATTAGTAACCAGCTGCACCCACCACGCATTGCTGTGTCCAACCTTACCTCCCTCTTTCTCTCCTTCTTTCCCTCCTTCCCTTTTCTTCTTTCCTTCTCTCCTTCCTTCCTTCTCTACCTCTTTCCTTTCTCCCTTTTTCTTTTCCTTCCCTTTCTCTCCTTTCTTCCTTCTCTGCCTTTCCTTCCTTCCTTTGCTTTTTGCTTTCATCCTTCCTTCTGTCTTCCCTTCCCTCTTTCTCTTTCCTTCTCTTCTTCGTTCGCTCCCTCTTTCCTTCCTTTTCTTTCCTTCTCCCCTTCCTTCTTTCTCTACCCATTTCTTTCCATCCCTCTTCTTTTCCTCTTTCTTTCCTTTTCTTCCTTCTCTACCTCTTTCCTTCCTTCCTTCGCTCTTTGCTTCCATGCTTCCTTCTCTCCTTCCTTCCTTCCTTTTTTCTTTTTTGCTTCCTTCCTTCCCTCCCTCTTCCCTTTTTTCTATATGTCATTTATCTTTTCGTCATTTATCTTTTGGGGGTTTTAAGTCCTTTCCAGTGTTTTTTTTTGGGGTGGGGTGGGGTGGATGGGTTATGAGTGATTGACACTCATTGGTCTGCCTCCCTTTTTCTCTCTCTCCTTCCTTCCTTCCCTCCCTCTTTCCTTCATTCCTTCCTTTTTTCTTTCCTTCTCTCTTTCCACCCTCCCCACTTTTCTTTAACTTCTTTCTCTCCTTTCTTCCTTCTCTACCTTTTTCTTTCCTCCTTTCCTGTGCTCTTTGCTTCCATCCTTCCTTCTCTCTTTCCTTCTTTCTTTCCCGCCCTCTTTTTCTGCTTTCTTCTCTTCCTCTTTCCGTCCTTCCCTTCTCTCCCTCTTGCCTGGGCACTGGCAGGAAGGCAGCCTTGCAAGGCCGGACTGGGGAAGGTGGGAAGCGCTTTTCGAGGCAGGCCACGCTCACCCAGCGCTGCCCCTTCTTCTTTCTGCCATGGCTGCGGGGCACCTTCCCTGTTTGGCGTGTGGGCACGCAGGCAGGGTCATATGGAAGGTGCCCTGCGGCTGAGGCAGAAAGAAGGGGCCAATGTGGGTGAGCAAGGCCCACCTCGAAAAATGCCTCTCGCCCCTGCCAGGCCCTGAAAGACTGAGAGCTGTAGAACTCCCTTCTTTTGGCACCCAGGCAAGGGAAGGTGAAGCCTGGGAGCAGCGTCCACACGGAGCAGCCACCTGCCTCTCCAGGGGGAAAAGAAGGAGGAGAGGTCTGTGTTTGGTGGGGCTGACAAAGAGAGGAAGGAGACTGGGAGGGAGCGAAGGAAGGAAGGAGGGCCCACGCATGGAAAGGCACTCCATGGCGAGGCTCCTCTTCCCTCAGAACGGTTGGTGCGTAAGTCTTCTCGCTCGCTGGGGAGAAGGCCTTTTGCGCATGCTCTGCTAGGTATTTTTTTGTGGGGGGGATATTAAAGTCATTTCCCCTTCATTTTTTAAGATTTTTTTTGTTTGGAAGACATAGATCGGATTAGAATGTGTTTTGCTGCCAAATTTGGTACCTATTCGTCGAGGGGTTTTTGAGTTCTGTTAATCCCACAAACGAACATTACATTTTTATTTATATCGACTAGCTGTCCCCTGCCATGCGTTGCTGTGGCCCAGTCTGGTGATCTGGAAAATAAAGTAATGAGAAAGTGTTGGTTTCCAATATATGTAATTTCTTTCTGCTTGTGGGTAAACAGTATTTGATAATGTTTTCTTGCCCTGGTGAAGGGAGTAGGACTGGGTGGTCTTAAGTATTTTCTATTGGTCATAGGGGTTCTGTGTGGGAAGTTTGCCCCAATTCTATTGTTCAGGTGAACTATAAATCCCAGCAACTACAACACCCAAATGTCAAGATTTTATTTTCCCCAAGCTCTACCAGTGTTCACATTTGGGCATATTGAGTATTCGTAGAGTTTGGTCCAGATCCATCATTGTTTGAGTCCACAGTGATCTCTGGATGTAGGTGAACTACAACTCCAAAACCAAAGGACACTGCCCACCAAACCCTTCCAGTATTTTCTGTTGGTCATGGGAGAACTGTGTGCCAAGTTTGGTTCAATTCCATCGTTGGTGGGGTTCAGAATGCTCTTTGATTGTAGGTGAACTATAAATCCCAGAACTACAACTCCCAAATGACAAAATCAAAAAAAATTGAGTAAAGGACATACATTGGGTTGTTAGGTGTATGTTGTCCAAATTTGGTGTCAATTCTCCCAGTGGTTTTTGAGTTATGTTAATCCCACAAACGAACATTACATTTTTATTTATATAGATGGTAGCTGAATGCCCCTAAAGCCCTCTTGGGCAGCTAAGCTGGAGGCAGAAAAGAGGCCCACTAGTCTGGAATGAACTTCCAAAAGATGGACAACAGCCCATTTTCTTACTGTCTTGAGAAAGCATTGCTTTACCAACTTCTTTTTAAGCAAACTTCAGAAGACCAACCTGCTGGCTTTTTCAGTTTAACCAGCAATATTGCTTGTTTGTATGATTTTGTCAGGATTGTAATCCTGTTCATACATGTCTACTCAGATGTTTGGAGATGCAGGTTAGCAGTGCTCTAAATTAGCTGGTTAATTGAGAGTCTACTGCATATGACAATTGATTGGCTTGTGTTTTGTAATCAGAGGAAGCAACTTGATTCAATGAATGGGATCTCAAATAGCTAAGCATTTCAAAACTAATATACAGACATTTTATTAATTTATAGATTAGAGATACCAGCCAGGAACCTTGTGGTCGTTTATCATTTCTGAAAGAACCAAAGACTACAAAGGGTCTGCCACAGACAGCTGTTTGTAACTTGAACATCACTCTGCCAGCACATAAAAAGGTATACATGCTTAAACAAATTTAGTATTTTCAATTAACTGTTTTTTTGCTGATTATCTTGAAGCATTAGTAATGGGAATGAATGCCTTGCAACAAGATTAAGCCTGCTTTATGTGTTACTGTTTTCACGTATGCTGAGAGTGTTTTGGATTTTCTTGTACTATGGTGTTTACTTCATTGTTTATGGTTGGGTCGTCTGTTCATAGCTCCTGCTCCTGCTTAGAGCTCATAGACTTATGCTTATAACAATACCATGTGTTTATTTGCAGTCAATGTACAGTTTTGTTTGTAAATTTACTTTTTGTTGACATTTTGGATTTGCTTTGACTTTTACAAATTACCTTGCATTTTTGTGCTCCCTTACATATCCTGATACTCTTTTCCCTGCTGTCCATTATAACATTCCTTGTCTCTGCAATGCCTCTTGGGACCAAAAGGAAACAGAGTCAGATCAAGATGACGAGGTAATATAAATTGTCTTTTATTTCCTTATTTATTTGAATCAGAATTTGTGTCCATTAAAGAATATAAAGGAGCACATAAATACAATTATTCAACTTCCAAATTGTAGGTTTCCCTTGGCTTTAATATCCTTTAAAATGGAGACATGATATAAGATGTAAGGTTGTGCTTAGAAAACCAAGTGTATAGTGCTCACTTTTCTATGCATACTGTAAAAACACCCTCACTATTTGCCTCAAAAATGTAGGAGAGAGATACCCCAGTAGATGTTAAGAGTGTCCCACTTTGAATCACTTAAATTGTAGAGGGTTTATTCTTCTTTAGGTTTATTAACTATAGAATTCTTCTATAATCTCCTTTATGTGTGTAGTTTGTATGAGGCACGCAGAGGTTTTTGTTTGTTAAGAACAAATAAAGATGTTTGTTTATTTAGAATAGGCACAGAAGCTTAGTGGTTGCAGTATTCTTGTACAAAACTTTTTGGTTTCAGAAGTAGTTCAGTGCTTGAATTACAGGTTGCAGTCAAAACCTTTAAACTGAGAAACTTTTAGTATTCTACTAAACAGTTCCCTCAAATACAAACAGCCCAATTCTCCAGGGTCTGTTCAAACCAATAGTTCTTCCTTGAAGTAACTATTAAATAATACAAGCTAAACTTCCTTCTTCCTCCCTTCTCCAAATCTCTAATTGCTAACCGCTGTTTCCAAACTTCAAGTATATTCAAACCCCAACTCCAAACAGACTGTTTCCAAAGGTTCCTTTTTCCTTCTAGCTTTGTCTTAGCTCCGCCTACTTTCTTCCTTCAGGGCTATTGACCAATCAGGTGGTGACACATTCCCTCAAGGCTGCCTGTTCGCTCCACCCCCCTTTTGGCTCTTGTGCTTACAAATGGATGCCTACCGGCTCCACCCCCTCCTGGCTTTGAGCTAAGAAAATGGCTGCTTGGCTTCTTGACCTTCAAGGAACCAAACACCAGCCCTGCACAGCAAGCCAGGATATTACACATACACTTGTAAAGTAGCACACTTGAAGAAGAGACCCATTTGCTCTTTTCCTGCCCAGTCATCACTGAAATCCCTTTTACAAGGCATGCTGTTGTATGCCAGGCCAATTATTTTATTTATTTATTTATTATTTAAACTTATATGCCGCCATTCCCCTGGGGCTCGGAGCGGCTTACAAGAATAGCTAAAATCTAACAAAATTTAAAAGCAATTTAAAACAATTTAAAAACAACAATCTCAAACATTAAAAGCCTGTCGAAACAGGTATGTCTTACATGCCCTGCGGAAAGGTACGGACTTCAGATGGCAGAGTATTCCAGAGTGATGGTGCCACTGCTGTGAAGGCTCTGCATCTGGTTGCTGTTATCATAAAGGGAAACCCTTGCATTTTTTAGGTCTTAAGAATTCAGTCTACTACTGATCTTAACAGAAGTAGTTTGAACATCTAGAGAGGAAAGTCTTAAGTGCGAAGCCGTTCTGTTTTCGTTTTGAATTTTGGGAGCCCTTGGTTCTGTTTTTGACAAGATTCCAGGATATTAGGAGGGGGGTTGAATTGAGTCAGGGGGACAGCTTTAAATTGGCAGTCCTCCTTTCTTCACAACCGTGGACAGCGAGTGGAGAGGGGAGGCCTGGTCTCTGAGAGGTCCCCTCTATCTTATGGGGTTCCTCAGGGGGCCATTCTCTCCCCTATGTTGTTTAACATTTATATGTGACCACTTGCTCAGCTGATTCGAGATTTTGGGCTTGAGTGTTACCAGTACGCTGATGACACTCAGCTGGTGCTGAAGATGGAAGGCCGACCGGACTCTGTACCCGATTATTTCCATCAGTGCCTCGATGCCATTACTGGATGGCTGCGTGCCAGCAGGTTGAGGGTGAATCCAGCAAAGACGGAGATCCCCGGGCAGTGGGGATATCCAGCTGCCTACCCTGGATGGCGAGGCACTACGCCCGTCATCATTGGTAAAGAATCTGGGAGTCCTTTTGGACCCTCTGCTGACGATGGAGGCCCAGGTCTCCGCCGTTAGCAGAACCGCCTTTTTTAATCTGCGTCAGGCTAGACTGCTGGCCCCCTATCTGTCCAGGGACGACCTAGTTATGGTGATCCAGGCTACGGTCATCTCAAGACTGGACTACTGTAACACCCTCTACATTGGCCTTCCTCTGTCGGTGATCCGGAAGCTCAAGTTGGCACAAAATGCAGGTGCTCGGCTTCTTGCAGGAATTCCGATGAGATGCCACATAATACCAATCTTACGGCAGCTGCATTGGTTACCAATTGAGCACCGGATCACTTTCAAAGTGATGGTACTTACCTTTAAGGCCTTGCATGGTCTGGGGCCGATGTACCTGAGGGACCGCCTCGCCCCCTACCAACCCCAGAGATCCCTTCGTTCTGAGGACCAAGATTTGTTGGAAATTCCCAATGTCAAGACCTTGCGTCTAACAGCAACCAGACGCAGAGCCTTTACAGCAGTGGCACCATCACTCTGGAATACTCTGCCACCTGAAGTCTGTGCCTTGCGGGACTTATCAGCTTTCCGCAGGGCATGTAAGACATATCTGTTTCGACAGGGCTTTGACTTTTAATATTGCTGTTTTTAAATTGTTTTAAATTGTTCGATTTTAACCTGTTCTTGTAAGCCGCTCCAAGCCCCAGGGGAGTGGCGGCATATAAGTTCGAATAATAAATAAATAAATAAATAAAATTTGTAACTCAGGATCCTGAGTTCCATTTCCATTTTGGGAAGAATCTTCCAGAAAACAGGATGCGGGGACGGGACGAAAACAGAACAGAATTATGTGCCATTTTGCACAAACTACTGACTACACAGGAATCTACCCTAGACACTCAATATACGTTTTCAATTTTTTTTTTAAAAAAAATGAACCAAAAATATTTGGATTGACTTATTTCTGGGTCAGTGTGAGCCCTGTACTTTAATGCTTCTAAAAAAAGAATCTGTCCCCTTCTCTGAGCAGAGTCTAGTCTTTCTTGAGAGAACCTAAACAAGTGTTGACACTTCCACTCTTTCTGCCATAGTATCACTTCTGACTATTTTGAATATCTTGCTGGCTCCGAGCTGGCACTGGTGCTCTCTGTGCAATGACCCTCGATTTGCCGTTGGTGATATCAAAATCCATAATTTTGGCCACAAAACCAACAACTTATATATGAATGTATAGAGTAACCATTTTATTTCATTGAACAATCTAATTAAACCAGACAATAATGCCTAACTAATAAATTTGGATTGCTACGTATTGAAAATTACCAGTAGGATCTAAAAGTGTGCCCTTCAGCATGCAGAAGTTGTTTTCTGCTTGTAAAAGTACTGTTTCAGATGCCTAAAGTAGAATTCAAATCTTTCTTTTTTCACCATGAAAAAAAAAACATATTCTCTTCAAATGGTATTAAATATTACATGGTATAAGGTATAATCATCTAATACCTGACCTCTAAATATATATAAAACAATTTATTACTAAAATTAGTCTTTAATTCTGATTTTTATTGATTTCCAAGATAATATGTCACATAAAAATGCCTCATCAAGCTTCTGTGAGCATTACTAAACAATTTTGGGGGGAAATGGCAAGTTATCAGTTAGCAATTGTATTGCACTTTCAAATTCACCTCTCTACATTTGTGCACATTTAAAAGAAAAAGTACACTTTTATTGTGTTTTTTGTCCTTTATGTACTTATTTTAAAGTAGGTGTACATTGTGGTTTATGTATTAATTTGGGGAAATTATTTATTGCCCTAAGTTATATCTATATTGTTATGTGTACCTGTAGCATTTTGTGTGGGTGCTTGTGTAGCCAGAAATTATTACAGTAGTAATCCTTTTCAAGGAGAAAGCCGGGATATAAACGCTGTATAGTTGAGATGGGCAAAATCATAGTTGTTAAAATAAGGCATAGCATAAAGAACTGACTGAATGATGTAATCCCTGATCAAGTGCTCCATGCTCAGCAAATTACTGGGGCCATTTTTTTTGTCTTACACTTTACCATCATTAATGTTATAGATGCATGCTGGTAAAGTATAAGACCAAAAATGTGCCTGTGTTATTTAACAAAAATATATACAAGGGGTATTTTTTAAGTAAGGTCCGTTGGAACATAAGTACACAACGAAAGTTTATTTCAAAAAAGTAAATTTATTTTCAGAAAGTACATACTTCACTCTATTTTTTGACATAGCTGCCAAGTTTGTTCAAACACATAGCTGCCAAGTTTGTTCATACCTCTGAACCAATTTTAAAATACCCTCTTCATAAAAACTTGCCACCTGCTCCGATAACCAAGAGTTCACTGCCGTCTGTAAACAAAGAAGGGCGACCGGAGCAGTCCTCATCATGGACGTTGTCACGGCCATCTTTGAATTGTTGTACCCACTTACGCACTTTGCTTTCACTCATAACAGTATCACCGTACTCTTCACAAATCTGTCAATGAATTTCTGCAGCAGGCAGGTTCCTTACTGACAAAAACCGTATCACTGAGCAAACCTCACATGCGGTGGGTGAGCTGATAGTCTTAAACATTTTTAAAGCACAGAACAGAACCGTACAGGTTAGCTACAGAGCGGAAACTGAGCACAGTTGTTCCCGAGGCATGGCGGTACACGACGCATGCGCTCGTTGTGGTATGCGTGCGAACTGCTAGTGTCTACAACAAAACGGACCTTACTTAAAAAATACCCCTCGTAGTATGGATGGATTTCGAGTTCATGCTTCCTTTCATAAATACTTCATTCGTTGCCCTTCACCTCCCTCACTACAAAGAGGATAATGGAGGAATCTAGGAGATCTGATTTTAAATTGAACACAGAATCTCTCCAAAGTTGTAAAATCAAATAGCGTTTTTATTGTTGGTCAGGATAGATACTACTTTAGTTCCTCAAAATAAGACCAAGTCTTATATTAATTTTTGCTCCAAAAGGGCTTATTTTCAGGGAATGTGTTTATTTTATGCACAACCATTTACATTTATTCATTTGAAAATACTGTAAATAAATAAATAAATTTGAAACCTTTCTATCAGATTATATATTAATATTTCAGTATAATTCAATTCATCCATTATGTATTGCTATGAACATACGAAATGTGTCCGTCTGGCTGATGATCTTAACTGGGCCTTTTGTGGGGTAGGGCTTATATTATGAGCATCCTAAACAAATCATGCTAGTGCTTATTTCTCCACTTCAGTCTTATTTTCGAGAAAATAGGCTAGATCCAAATCAATTTGCTCATTACATTTCCCAGAACTCTCTTTGCCTTCAAGACATCTAGAACCAACCTACCTCTCATTGAACCTGACAGCACATCATAATACCTGTTCATATGCCTATTTACTCCCAAAAATGTATTTGGAAAGGATTCATAGCACATATGTACAGTAAGCTCTCTAAAAGATCTAAGAGTAGATGATAGTTTTCCTTCCTCATTTTGGACAGGCATTTGCATATCCTGGCATATTTAGGAAAATGAGATGTCATGACATTGAAAAAAAAAGTAAGAAAGAAATGTGCTAAAGATGATAGCTTTTCTTCTAAAGGAACCAAATGGAAATTTGTTTTGTTGCAGACGGAAAAAACGGACCGGCGCCAGAACTTTGTGTCCCTTGCTTTACGTAAGCGCTACAGCTATCTGACTGAGCCTGGAATGAGTGAGTTTCTTAACAAATGTACTAATTTTGCAAACTGATCTCTCACAAAAAGAGACATTTTTTCTATAAATGTTGGTTTTGATATTGTTCAGAAAGGCTTCATCTAATAAACTGTGGTCAATCCAATTATCCAAGAGCATGGACAACCCAGGATATTCATGTCAGCTCTTGAAGGGTCTATGGACCAAAAAAAAATCAATAATATAGGATCTACGTTTACATAGCAAAAGAAGATGGGTTTTCCTCCTACATTTTATGGAGGCAAAGTGGTTAAAATCAACATGTCACAAAGGAAATACCGTCTTTCATTGCATAATAGTTGCAAGCGGGCGGGCTGTGATTATTAACACGAGATTCTCCCATTTCTGTAATTTGTTTACAAATAAAATGCCTTACCTCTGGAAGAGAAGGAGGAGGCACTGTGGAAGAGATGCAACAGCTGTCAGAAATTAAAATACATCTCAAGACCCATCTCCTTGCAGACGGCCAATTCTCTCACACCAGGAGCGACTTGCAGTCACTCCTGACACGACAAAAAAAAAAAAAGACTCATCTCTTCCAGCATGCCTTCCCAGTCAGTTTTAACTATGAATTTTAATCCCATATCTTGTGTTCACTTTGCTCAAAGTAATTAATATATGGGTTTAATATAAATATAAATGTTTTAATATGTGTATTTTTATATAATGTTTATCATTGTATATTTTTAGCTATGTGGTAACCCGCCTTGAGCCACAAGGAGAGGCGGGTAAGAAATAGTTGTTGTTATTATTATTATTATCATCCTGCCTCAAACAAACAGGTCCATTCCTGTTTGTTTGGTTTTTTTTAAACTGCAGAGCCATTTGGGACTGATTTTCCCTTCCTTCTTTTTCTGAAGGCAAGGCAGTTTAAAAACTATAAAATGGAGGTTCCTTCCTCTGAGGCAAGACAGTTTAAAAAAACTGAAATGGAGGTCTCTGGAACTCAGATCTTCCCTCCTTCCTCCTTTCTCTAAAGAAGGAAGGGATGGAAAATCCGCCCCAAATGAGGGTGCAACTATTCTGCGAGGAAAACAAAAATACCATGTTGGGGCCCCCAAAAATGGTGGTGCGACTATTATGCAATGAAATACGGGTAATATACTGACGGATCAAAGAATGACATGTATGGACAGAACAGAACTGCACATGTAACCTATGCTCTCATTCCATTGGAGGAGTTCATGTTGCCAAATGATTGGCAACTTTCACTTCAGTAGTTCCCATTGCCACACTGACAAAATTCTTTTCAAACTTATTGTATTGAATTTATTTTATGTTTTTTTTTTGTCCAGAAGGCTAGATTTCCACTTTACTGGAGTATTTTCTAAAACAGTGAAGCTGGCTTCTAGATCAAGAAGGGGCATCTACCTGCTATTTCACAATTGGGTTGCTCATCACCGATAATGTATGAATTCAAAGGTCTTGGTGATGGCATACCCACCCATTGCCATCTAGAGCTGACTGTTCTAGTCAGTGACTTGAAATAATTTTTGATATTTTATATCTTATTTATCTACTAAAATACCATATATACTCGAGTATAAGCCGACCCGAATATAGGCTGAGGCACCCAATTTTACCACAAAAAACTGAGAAAACGGATTGACTCCAGTATAAGCCGAGGATGGGAAATGCAGCAGCTACTGGTAAATTGCAAAATAAAAATAGATACCAATTAAATTACATTAATTGAGGAATCAGTAGGTTATATGTTTTTGAATATTTACAAAAATGGTAATTTAAGATAAGACTGTCCAACTCTGATTAAATGATTATTTACCTTCAATGTAAATGTGCCTACATATCCTTCCAATAATAATAGAGAGCAACATAACAAATGTAATAATAACAATAATAATTTATATTTATTTATTTACAGCTTTTATATTCCGCCCTTCTCACCCCGTAGGGGACTCAGGGCGGATTACAGTGTACACATATATGGCAGACATTCAATGCCAATTTTTGAAATACAAACATATAGAGACATGCACAGAGGCTATTTAACTTTTTCTGGCCGCCAGGGGAGCTGTCGCTTTCATCGTCCATCTGCGACGCTGATGAAGCACTTCCGCATTCCCCATGCTTCCCCGCCGGAATGCTTTGCTGGAGTCTTCTTTATGGCCTCATAAATCAGTTAATTTAGCCTCCCCACACTTTTTAAGGTGGTACCTAATTTTCCTACTTGACAGATGCAACTGTCTTTCGGGTTGCAAAGGTCGACAACAGGCTACACACAATTGGTTGGAAACCCACTCCAACCCGGGCTGGCTTCGAACTCATGACCTTTTGGTCAGAGTGATCTTAATGCAGCTGACACTCAGCCAGCTGCACCACAATCCTGAATATAAAAAGAATAAAATAATAAATGTAGCAATAACAACAATTATACAGTAAAATAATAAATGTATGATAATAGAGTAAAATGATAATAATAAATAGAATAAAATAATAAATGAAATAATAATAATAATAATAATAATAATAATAATAATAATAATAATAGAGTAAAATAATAAATAACCTTGACTAGTATAAGCCGAGAGGGACTTTTTCAGCCTAAAAAAAGGGCTGAAAAACTAGGCTTATACTCGAGTATATACAGTACTCCCTAGGAAACTTATAAAACAGTTATTATTAAAAACAAGAGAATTGCTGATACTCAGTCTGAAGAAATTGATTAAAAACACTTTGAAACCAATAGCGGTGATATCAATAAGTTCAGTCAGTAAAAATAACATGGATTTATAAGGTTGAATATTCCTTATCTGGAATTCCAAAATCCAAAATATCCCCAAATCCATTTAATAACAACATTGGTTTCTAATGAAATTTTGTTTCATGTACAAAATTATTAAAATACTAGCCATCCCCTGCCACATGTTGCTGTGGCCCAGTCTGTGTATATGTGTTTTGTGTGTGTATATGTGTGTTTACGTATATATATGTGTGTGGTTTTGCGCATGTGTTGTAAAGTAATTTTTGTTTTATGGCTTTTAAGTCCCTTCTGCTGTGTTTTTCAGGGTTTTTATGAGTGATGGTCACTCGTTGTCCTGATAGGTGTATTGTGTCCAAATTTGGTGTCAATTCGTCCAGTGGTTTTTGAGTTATGTTAATCCCACAAGCAAACATTACATTTTTATTTATATAGATTATCTATACCCCTTCTTCTTAAACTATGGGTCCTAACCCCAAATGGGGTTCCCTTAGCTCAATGTTGGGGTTCTGATTTTTTCCTAGACATTATCAGAGATCTAGGATATCTGCATGCCCATTCCCCTCCAAAACACTCCACCTGGTCATGCCCAGCACTTTTAATTTTAATTATTACATTTGGCCGTGCCATTGTTTTTAACTGTGTCATTCTGTGTTGTCAGTGTTATTGCTTTGTTTTCTGAGTTATTTTGCTGTTTGTTGTTGCTGTTGTTTTTACTATTGTGTTTGGGCTCGGCCTCTTGTAAGCCGCACCGAGTCTCCTTCGGGAGATGGTAGCGGGGTACAAATAAAGGATTGTTATTATTATTATTATTATTATTATTATTATTATCTGCTGTGCAATGTTTACAGTAGACTCTTCAGAAGATGCCTCCACTTTACTTCATAAGAAATCAAATCAGCCTGTTTTGCAAGCCTTGCAAATGCTGCTTTGTTATCAGTTAATGTTTTATTTTTTATACCTATTTTATAACAGGAAGCATGTAAATTTTTCTCTGGCCAAAATGAGTCTTGAGAGGAAAAGTTACAAAGCCCTGATCTATGCAATTGCCTTCCAGCTATGTGTATAAGGCAGGGGTCCTCAAACTTTTTAAACAGAGGACCAGGTCACAGTCCCTCAAACTGTTGGAGGGCCGGATTATAATTTTTAAAAAAACATGAATGAATTGCTATGCACACTGCACATATTTGTAGTGCAAAAAACACTTTAAAACAATACAATAGTTAAAATGAAGAACAATTTTAAGAAGTATACACTTCTTAGTATTTTAATGGGAAGTTTGGGCCTGCTTTTGGCTGATGGGATAGGGTTGTTGTTGTTGTTGTGTACTTTCAAGACGTTTCAGACTTAGATTGACCCTGAGCAAGGACCGGGTAAATGACCTTGGAGGGCCATATCCAGCCCTCGGGCCTTAGTTTGAGGACCCCTGGTATAAGGGATAATAAGAAACATCAATGAATTTTATGTTCCATCTCCCAAGATATCACATTATGTACCATTTCAGATAACGAATATTCAACCTGTATCTAAAACTTGGCCAGTCCCATCATTGGACTCACTGACAACATTGGCAGTGTGCTAATGGTGGCAAATTTCTTACATTTTCTACCTCAGTGTGGTAAACCCTTTCTCACTCAAAGTGTAGAACAACATAGCTCTCCACCCCTGAAAATGCCTCCTTTTCTTGTGGCAATATACCGCCTTTTTCCATCCCACCCTGTTCTCGTACCCAAGAGCCAACCTCCTCCCATTCAGAAAAGATGGAAATGGTGACATCTGTAAGAGCTTCGAGCTGTTACACCAAGGACAGAAGAAATGATAACTGATGTCCTCATGGAAGTAGTGGCTCTATGAGTCAGATCTTTTATGAATGCTTGGCTCTTGAACTTCAGAAATCAATTTTCCTGGGCATTTTTGCCCCTGTCATAAAAAAACAGGTTCTCGGATCTTTTCAGTGGTTGTGTAGACACTTCGGTTGTTGCTGTCTCCACTCTCACAGCAATGAGTTCTACATCTTCTAATGATATAGTTATCATTTTTCCTCCTTTGTGGATTGGAGTGGCCAGCAAACAAGGGTGAGGGCAAATGACAGTTCTCCTCCAACTCCTCAATGGGGGAAATTTCCATAGGTAGTGTAGCAGAGATGGCAATGTTTCACTTTCACCTCAAGTGGCAATAGAGTTGGGCTATCCCTGATGTAAAAAAAGAACAAAAATTAAGTGTATGGTAATAAATAACATTAAACATTCATGGTTATAAACACAAGTGTTAAGTAATCACACTTTTTAAAAAAGTTCCAAGCTTGTACTCTTCACTACCCACTCGCCCGTCTTTGAATTGCTATGAAAACTGTCCTTAAAAGGTACCCAGAAACTAATTCCAGTAGAAAAAGTGTGCTCTTCTTTTAAAATGCCTCATGTGGAAAAATTGAACTTTTATGTATTTTGCATAAATGCACTGTACATAGTGTTCTATTCCATGTGCTTGTTTTGACATGATAAACTGCATGAGTGAATTTTTGGTTGCTTTGCCTGCTCACGTTTTTTCATCAACTGTTTTACCCCATTTTTTGTGTATGACAAATGCTTATTAAAGCCATTTCATGTGAAGCTTTTTTCTTTTAAGTTTGACCAAGGAAAAGGGATACCGCATGAAAAAAAAACCCCAACAAATGCAAAATGAGAAGTGTTTCTTTTCGTTCTTCAGTTAGAAAAGTTCTTGCTCTTATTGGCTTTGTGAGCGTGAAGCATATACGAAATGTGCATGGGAGAGAGAGATTTGACTTTATTCCCGTTGCTTCACAATTTGCACATCAATTGCCTGTCACTTTAAAAGTATTTTGGGTTCTGCATGAAATAGTTCGGAGTGATTTTCAAAGCAGACTTTAGCTACTCAATGTCATTTGCACAAGTTTATACTGTTTTGTATTAACTGGACTGCTATACAATTATACACTGTATTAACGAAACTGCAAAGGGTATAATTACAGAAATTTCCCAGAAGACAATTTTGGTATTTGCACAAAGCAAAGGCGTACTGATAACAGGCAAACTCGAGATGAGATATTTCATATTTCAAATTAGCACATCAGAAAGTCAATAGGAAGTAAGAGAAGAATTTTTGGTTGTGGCTTTTACTTTGGACCATTATGGACTCCTCCTTAGTGTTTTCTGTTTTTTTTCCCCCATTGTTTGCAAACTTGGTTGCCTTGTGCTTTTTTTGTTTCCCATTTCATGTTGTTTTCATGTTCATCCATAATTATGTGGCTCATTCCTATTTTCCCTTCCTGTTTAGCTGTTGATTTTACCTACTTCATTATAATTCATACAAACAGTTGTATTTGCTTTTTTTGTAATATTACAACATTTACTGACCAATTTTCTTCTCTGGTCTCTCTGTTTTTTGACTGTTTTTGTTAATTTTTACGTTATACTTTTTGGTTTAACAATTTAAGAAACAGTTGAACGAAGTGCAGGAGCAACAAGATCCCTACCTGCTACCTATTCATACAAGCCATTCTTTTCAGCAAGACCCTATCAGTCATGGACAACAGCACCAATCACTGTGCCTGGGCAAAATAAATCAGGCTTCACTTCTCTATCAAGCTCGTCCTCTAACACTCCAACAGCATCCCCATTAAAATCAATATGGTCGGGTTCTTCTGCTTCACCAATCAAATCCACATTAGGAGCCTCAACTACATCTTCAGTTAAATCTGTTAGCGATGTAGCTTCTCCAATTAGATCATTTCGGACAATCTCCTCACCAATAAAAACTGTGGTTGCGAAACCTCCATACAATAGCCAAGTTTCTTCTCGTTCTTTCATCAGAGCTCCTGCAGTCACAGAAGCCACTAGTTTGAAAGGGCTGGCATCTGCTTCCACATTTCCCTCTCGGACATCTCCCGTGACTACAGCTGGGTCTCTTTTGGAGAGATCATCCATTACCATGACGCCGCCAGCATCTCCTAAATCGAACATTAACATGTACTCTTCAAGTTTGCCATTTAAATCAATCATCACATCAGCATCACCGCTTTTATCTTCACCTTTAAAATCAGTGGTGTCTCCTGCTAAGTCGGCAGTTGATGCTGTTTCACCATCTAAAGTCACAATGACTTCATCCCTCACATCCCCTGCGAAACACACAATTGGGCATACAGAGGTAGCAATGGTTAACGGATCCATGTCACCTTTGAAATATCCGTCCCCTGCCAGTTTGATCAATGGATCCAAAGCCACTGCCACATTTCAAGACAAGATTACTGCAGCCTCCAGTTCTGCAAGTTGTGCTGTTAATGCAGCCACTGATGCCGTTGAGAAAATACTTCCAGCCACTACTGCAATGCCATTTTCTCCACTCAGGTCACACGTGTCTTCAACTCCATCAGCCTTTCAGTCAATAAGAACTCCTTCTGCAGGTGTACTGTACACATCTCTTGGGTCAATATCAGCAACTACCTCGTCAGTAACCTCATCAACAATCACAGTGCCAGTATATTCTGTAGTCAATGTTTTGTCTGAACCAGCACTAAAGAAGCTCCCAGAATCATCTTCCCTTACAAAATCGGCAGCGGCGTTGCTCTCGCCTATTAAAACATTGACTACAGAGACACGCACACAGCCTCACTTTACCCGAACCTCATCTTCTATAAAATCATCCTTGTTTTTAGCACCCTCTGCTCTTAGGTTGTCCACACCATCTTCTTTATCTTCTAGTCAGGAGATATTAAAAGATGTGACTGACATGAAAGAGGACCTAATAAGAATGAAAGCAGTATTGCAGACAGATGTAATCGAGGACAAGGCATTCCATCCAGAACTAACAAAAGATGATAGATTAGGTGAAGAAGAACCTTTAGAAATTGTTCAGAAAGTAAAAGAGGGCCTAGTGAAAGTTAGTGAGATACTGACACAAGGTGTGTATTTAGACAAACAATCAACCAAGCTATCCAAAAGTGATGAAGGACCCTCCTCTGAGGATGAATGGGTAGAGTTCAGTGCAGATGAGATTGATGAAGCAAGAAGGCAAGGCATGACATGTCCTCCTATATGTATTCCTGAAAAGATGCAGATTAAAGCAAAGGCTGTATCTGAAAAGGATTATAACTTGACTAAAGTCATTGATTATTTGACAAATGATATTGGTAGCAGTTCACTGGCAAGTTTAAAGTACAAATTTGAAGAAGGGAAAAGAGAAGGTGAAGAAAGACAAAAAAGAGTCTTGAAACCAGCCATTGCATTGCAAGAACACAAACTTAAAATGCCTCCAGCCTCTATGAGGCCTTCTACTTCAGAGAAAGAGTTGTGTAAAATTGCAGATTCCTTTTTTGGAACTGATACCATTTTGGAATCTCCAGATGACTTTTCTCAACATGACCAAGACAAAAGTCCTTTATCCGACAGTGGCTTTGAAACAAGAAGTGAGAAAACGCCTTCAGCCCCACAAAGTGCAGAAAGTACAGGGCCCAAACCACTTTTTCATGATGTACCAATCCCTCCTGTCATTACAGAGACAAGAACTGAAGTGGTTCATGTTATCCGTAGCTATGAACCTTCACCAGAAGAGGTTCCTGAACCACAAACAGAAGAGCCTCCATCTCCCAAAACAGCACCCACTTTTATGGAGCTGGAAGTCCGGCCAAATGGAGGATCTATCAAAGATAAAGTGAAAGCATTTCAAATGAAAGCCAGCAGTGATGACGATGAGCACAAGAGTGTTCTTGGTAAAGGTGTCCGGGTGAAAGAAGAAACTCATATAACTACTACAACCAGAATGGTTTATCACAAACCTCCAGGCACTGAGAGTTCTTCAGAAAGAATTGAAGAAACAATGTCTGTTCGTGATATAATGAAAGCTTTTCAGTCAGGACGTGATCCTTCCAAAGAATTGGCAGGTCTGTTTGAACATAAGTCTACGGTAACACCAGATGCTAGCAGGTCTACTGAAATTGCACCGCAACGTACAGAAAAGGACAGCAAAATGAAACCCAAACTGGAGCGTATAATAGAGGTCCATATTGAAAAAGGTAATGAGGCTGAACCTACTGAAGTCATTATTAGAGAAACAAAAAAGCGTCCTGAGAAAGAAATGTATGTTTATCAAAAAGACTTGCCTCATAGTGATTTGGAAAAACACGAGGCTTTTCCTTGTTCAGATGAACAAGGTCAGCAAGAAGAAGAAGAACTTACAGGAGAAGAGTCACTGCCTTCTTTTCTGGAGTCTAGAGTAAACACTCCTGTGTCTCAGGAAGAAGACAGTCGCCCTAATTCTGCCCAACTTATGTCTGATGACTCGTACAAAACTCTGAAGCTTTTGAGTCAACATTCAGTAGAGTACCATGATGATGAGTTATCAGAACTAAGAGGGGAGTCTTACCGGTTTGCTGAGAAAATGCTTCTCTCAGAAAAGTTAGATGTTGTGACTCCTCAGTATCACTCTGATACTCCTCAGTATCACTCTGATACTGAGGAGTCCGTTACTGATCATATCCTACCCCATAGCTCAGACTCACAGGGGCCTGATAAACGATACAGAGAGAAAATAACCACAATTCCCCCAAAAGAAATCTTCACTAAAACCTCTAAAGATATATCAGAAAATGGCGTAGGTAAAATATCTAAGGATGACCATTATGATAAAGTGACAGTTTTACATTATACCGGAGATGTTAGTAGTCCAAAACATGCAATGTGGATGCGCTTTACTGAGAACAGGTTAGATAGAGGTAGAGAAAAGTTGATGTATGAAGACAGGGTGGACAGGACTGTTAAGGAGGCAGAAGAAAAGCTGACAGAAGTATCACAGTTCTTCCGGGACAAAACAGAAAAATTGAATGTTGAATTGCAATCACCTGAGAAAAAGCAACAGAAAGGACATGGGAAAGATGCTCAGTCAGGCCACAGATCAGCTACCAGCAGCCCTGAAAAGGGGGCAGTTTCTGACTTTCAACGTTCAAAGGATGATTGGACTAGAGAAGGACTCTATGGCCGTGATGGAAAGGGCTTCCCAAAAAATGATGAAAGAAGGGCAGCGAGTTTGCCTAGCAGCCCTGAGAGAAGAGCTCTCATGCAACAGACTGAGGACTCTAAGCGGTCAACGGAACAAAAAGGAATTGCTCAAAAAGGTAGGACACCTGAAGCTTTGCCAACTGGATTTCAACTGAAGCAATCCAAACTCAGTTCTATTAGGCTGAAGTTTGAACAGAGCATAGGCTCAAAGAATAAGGAGCAGCTTCAAGAAGATAAGAAGCAAGATCCTCAGTCTAAAATCCCAGTGAAGAAATTGCAAGACAGCAAGCTCCCAGTCTATCAATTTTATGCCAGAGAAAAGCATGCAAAAGAAAGAGACCTTACAGATGGCAATCTAACGTTACAGAAAGAACCTTCTGCTAGCAAATTAAAAGAAACCACCCAGAGTAAAGTCAAAGCTGTAGAAGATGCTTCTTCTTCAGATGTAGTCAAACACAGAAGCGAAATCCCTAGTAAAAATGTTTCAGACACTTTTGCAGAGCAGAAGGTGAAAGGTTTGGCATACAGCACAACTTCTGAAACTGCACCAGCCAAGGGGCATTGGGATAAGAAGATCTATAGAACATGGGAAAGTCCTGGGACGTCTGCCCACAAAACACAAAAAGAAAAACTTTCCCACGTCCTGGTTCAGGATGCAGTGAAAGAAAATCACATTGACCATCCTGAGACAACAGATATGGCCAAAGACAATGAACTTATTGCTGTGAAACAGCATGAGCATAAAATTTCAACAAATGGATCCTCTTCAAAAGAGGTGAAGGAAATGACTGTAAAATCTCCATCCAAAAAGGTCCTTTATAGAGAATATTTTGTCAGAGAAGGGGAATGCCCCAGTGAAACAGTGGATAAAACTTTAAAGAAAAAAGAATCATTGACTACATCTCACATTCCAGTCAGAATTTCTGAAGAAAAAAGAATGCTATCAGCTGGTGTTCTTGATGGCACTCAAGAACAGACCAAAACGGCAGGACATGAACTGTCAGCTAAAGTAGCCCATGTCAGTATGGCTAAGGAAAGAGCCGAGAGACATTTTGAATATACAGAGCATGATAAAACTAAGTATTCAGAATTTTGTCTGGGTAGCAGCAGGCAACATGGTTATTCCAAATTAAGTCCTCCTGTGGAGGATGCTGAACTGTCCCCTAGCAAATCACCTGACTCTTTAGAAATGAGCCCAGGAAAGGAATCTCCCTCACGGGACTCAGACCCCATTCATGGTGACAGTTTGGTGAGATCTGCCCCTTTGGCAACAGCTGAGGGAACAAAAGAGATAAAAACCCTGCCTGTTTATGTTAGTTTTGTTCAAGTAGGGAGGCAATATGAAAGGGAAGTGCAACAAGGAAGCATCAAAAAAATGGTGAGCCAGGAAAGTAAAACAGTGCAGGAGACCAAGGGGGCCTTTTATACAACTAGGCAGCAGAAGCAACTTCCTTCTCCTCAAGGTAGTCCAGAAGATGACACATTAGAGCAGGTGTCCTTCATGGATAGCTCTGGGAAAAGCCCCTTAACTCCCGAGACACCCAGTTCAGAAGAAGTGAGTTATGAGTTTACATCTAAAACACCAGATTCACTTATAGCTTATATACCAGGCAAACCCAGTCCTATCCCAGAGGTTTCTGAAGAATCAGAGGAGGAGGCAGAGGCTAGATCAACCTCTGTAAAACAGATAACTGTAGAGCCACCCAAAATTGACAAAGTCTTGCCCAGTAATCTAGACAGGGATTCTAATAAAAGACACAAGGGAAATAGGGTTGCCTACATTGAATTCCCACCACCTCCTCCATTAGATGCCGATCAAACAGAATCAGAAAAGCACCGCCACTCCTCTGAGAGTGAGATGGAGATGATCGAAGTCAACCTACAGGATGAACTTGACAAATTTCATTTGGCTGAACCAGTCATAAGAGTGCAGCCACCTTCTCCAGTCCCACCAGGAGAAGATTTCAGTGACTCTAGTGATGATGAATCCCTCTATCAACCCATTCCAATTAAAAGATATATGTTTAAACTGAGCGACATGGAACATGACCAGAAAGAAACCATCAAACAGAAATCATCCGAAAAGAAGGAGACAGGGAAATCTAGTGAGTTTGATCTTGGCCTTGATTCTCCCCAGAATGATATTGCACAAAATGGGAACAATGACCAGTCTATTACGGAGTGTTCCATAGCGACCACTGCAGAATTCTCCCATGACACAGATGCAACTGAAATAGATTCCCTTGATGGGTATGACCTGCAAGATGAAGATGATGGTCTGACTGAAAGTGATTCCAAACTTGCAGGTCCAGCAGTTGAAATCAAGAAGGAGATATGGGCTACAGAAGGCATTTTGAAACAGACTGACCGGTGCTTTAGCCAAAGCAAGCTGGAAGTTATTGAGGAGGAGGAAAAAGTCAGCACTGAAGAAAACAAGCTATTATCAAAATGTCCAGCATCTGAAAAAAGTGCCAATAAGACTGAACAAAAGTCAGGTGCACAGTTTTTTACTCTGGAAGGCAGGCATCCTGACAGGACTGTGTTTCCTGACACATATTTTAGTTACAAAGTAGATGAAGAGTTTGCAACCCCTTTTAAGACAGTAGCCACCAAAAGCCTAGATTTTGACCCTTGGCCCAATAATCGTGGTGACGATGAAGTTTTTGAGTCAAAATCCAAAGAGGATGAATCTAAGCCTTTTGGCCTTGCTGTCGAAGACAGATCTCAAGCAACAACCCCTGACACAACACCAGCCCGAACACCAACTGATGAAAGTACACCTACTAGTGAGCCCAACCCCTTCCCATTTCACGAAGGGAAGATGTTTGAGATGACTCGCAGTGGCGCAATTGACATGAGCAAGAGGGATTTTGTTGAAGAGAGACTCCAATTTTTTCAGATTGGTGAGCATACTTCTGAAGGGAAGTCAGGGGACAAGGGGGAAGGGGATACAAATAAAGTCACTGCCATCACACAACCACAGTCAGGGGACAAAACTGTAGAACAAAACATAGAGAGAGAAGTAGAAATACCAGAAGTTGAACATAAGCTCATCATCCAGGCCAGTGGAGATTGTCTGGAAGCAACATCGGGTAGTAACTCTCCGGAGAAATCATCAGCCACTGTTAATTCTTCTAAAGTTGATCCCAAATTGCGTGCACCTATTAAAATGGGAATTTCTGCTTCCACCATGACGCTGAAGAAAGATGCCTCTGGAGAAGTGGCAGATAAGCTAGAGGCTGTGACACCAGGTGCTCAGGGGTTAGAATGTGAAACCATAGAGGAGGTTGCAAATACAGCTATAGTTAGCCAGCCAAGTGTTAGGCAGACAGAAAAGCATGATTTCCAAAAAGATAATTTTAATAACAACAACAATTTGGATCCATCCACCATATCTACCAGTAGTATAACCTGTAAAAGAGTACTAAATGAAGATTTTGAGGCAAAGTGTCCCACACAGAAAGCTAGCCCAATGAAAAACACTTCAGGAAATGGTAAAGGCACAGCACACGAACACTGTAAGCAAAAAATACATGGAGAACACAAGCCACCAGAGGCTGTAGGGAATAGAGTAAGATCAAAACTTCCCATAAAGGCTACCTCAGCAAAAGAAGCCATTCCACTTAGCAGTAGCCAAACCTACAAAGTGAGTAAAGTCAGACAAGAAAGTAAAGTTGAGAAAAGAAAACAAAACAGCTCATCTCCACATGTAGAAGTAAGGTCAAAGATTCCTGTAAAAAATACACAAAGGCAAAATTTAGTCGTAGTTAGGAAATCCTCAGCAACTCAAAACCAAGAGCAGCTAGAGAGAAGCAAAGGCAAACCACTTCCTTCTAAATTACCATTAAAGGTAAGATCTACCACCATATCAAACACGGCGACAGCAACAGTTAAAGTAAAGCAGAGTCAGCTTAGGGAGGTATGTAAGCATTCTATTGAATATTTTAAGGGAATTAGTGGTGAGGCTTTAAAGCTGGTGGACCGTCTGTCGGATGAAGATAAAAAGATGCAGACAGAGGTATCTGATGATGACGATGAAGAAGAAGACAGTACATCAAGAAACACATCCTTGTCTGAAGCCACTCAAGTTTTCCAGCCTTCCATTACAACGAAGCCTGCTAGAGATATGAAAACAGAGGCAGCATCTTTAAAATCAAAGAGTGAAAAATCCGACAGTGAGAGGAGGAGGAGGAGTAAGAGAAGGACTGGTGAGAATGGAGGGAGTCAGGTTTCTCGAGCTCTCGGGGCTCACCTCGTGGAGATCAAGCCTAGTTTGTAAAATTTTCAACTTGTTGATCCTAGTGCATGAACTGTTGTGATTGCCTGTGAAGTGACTTACCGTAGTTCTCATTATGTCATTGTCATCTGTATGTGCTGTCTTTTATACCTTCTTTCTTCTTTTTAAATGAAGGCTTAAATGAAAGTAGACAAACAGCTAGCACAGCATGCCAAAGACATTCATGTAGTAATTCGGTGTTAGAAGATTTTACTTTGACAAGCAAAAATTTCATGTTGTCAAAATAAACTTTTTTTTCTTTTAAATACTGACGGATTTTTTTCCATCTTGTATCCATCAGTAGTTAAACCACTGTTGAGAAATTTAGTACATTGATTGTCAGCATGTTTGGTTTCATTTACACAACATCATGTAGTTTGACACGTGGCCTTACAAAAGTGAAAATTTTCAAATTTGTGATAATATAGCTATCAAAATATATCTATCAAAATATATATATCTATAAATATAAATATATAAATATAGATATTTTGTAGGATTTTGAGGGCACTCAGTCATTTTTGGTAATTGATCAGAGCACTAGCTAACATACCACAACGTAGTAAAATACTTTTAGTCAGTGATGAAAATTCTTTCACAACCTCATTTTAATCCAGAAATTATAAACCACAGGTCCACAGAGTCCATGTGAACGGACAGATATAAGGATGGCAATAGTGGCTGATCACCTGGGACTTAGCTGGACAGGTATGATTTTATGATGTGACATCAACATAGAAACTATGTTGTACTTTGTACTTTGAGACACTGCATGTTTAATGTACTTTGTACTTTTGTACTTTGAGACACTGCATGTTTAATGTTTATGTATTGTATCCAGGCATTGAATGTTTGCCGTGTATATGCTGTGCTCCGCTCTGAGTCCCCTTTGGGGTGAGAAGGGCGGAATATAAATGTTTTAAATAAATAATAAATAAATAAATGTATGTGGGTAAGGTTTACCACAGTGTTTCTCAACCTGGGGGTCAGGACCCCTGGGGGGGGTCGCGAGGGGGTTTCAGAGGGGTCACTGAAGACCATCAGAAAACACATATCTCTGATGGTCTTCGGAACCCCTTTGGCATAGTTGTTTGGATTCACAGTGCTCTCTCCCTAAATCACTGTCAATTCATCCCAAATCCCTCCAAGTATTTTCCATTGGTTATGGGAGTTCTGTGTGGGAAGTTTGGCATAATTCTATCATTGGTGGGGTTCAGAAAGCTCTTTGACTGTAGGTGAACTATAAATTACAACAACTACAACTCCCAAATGTCAAGGTATATTTTCCCCAAGCTCCACCACTGTTCACATAAGTACTCATGTCAAGTTTGGTCCAGATCCATCATTGTTTGAGTCCACAGTGCTCTCTGGAGGTATGTGAACTACAACTCCCAAACTCAAGGCCAATGCCCACCACACCCTTTCAGTATTTTCTGTTGGCCATGGGAGTTCTGTGTGCCAAGTTTGGATCAATTTCATCGTTAGTGGAGTTCAGATTCCTCTTTGATTGTAGGTGAACTATAAATCCCAGTAACCACAACTCCCAAATGTCAAGCAGTATTCACATTTGGGCATATTGAATATTCATGCCAAGTTGGTCCAGATTCATCATTGTTAGAGTCCACAGTGCTCTCTGGATGTAGGTGAACTACAATTCCCAAATGACAAAATGACTCCCCCTTCCCCGATCCCACCAGTATTCAAATTTCGGCATATTGGGTATTTGTGTCAAATTTGGTGTCAAATTTGGTCCAGCGAATGAAAATACATCCTACATATCAGGTATTTACACGATGATTCAAAATGGCAGTTATGAAGTAGTAATGAAAATAATGCTATGGTTGGGGGTCACCACAACATGAAGAACTGTACTAAGGGGTCACAGCATTAGGAAGGTTGAGAACCACTGGTTTACCATCTTGTTATATGGCAACTGCTTTTAAACAATACAGTATAGTGATCTAGAGACAAGTTTGTGTGAAGAGTTCATTAAAAGAGAGCAGAAAATTGCTCTGTTGACACATGGAAGGGGTTTTATTTTTAATTCACCAGGTGGAATTGCCTACCACATACCTTATACTCCTCCATAGTCCATCCTTTGGAGTAAGTGAAAAAGGGACTGAGAAGGAAAGTCTACAGAAAGTGCATGATTCATTCATAGAACATCAGATATGAAAGTTTGGAATGAAGCTAATGTGTTTCTATGTCAGAAAGTCTACTGGCTACTGTGATGTCATCAGTGCTAAACAGCAGACAATGGCATTCTATGGAGAGAGATATTAGGATCCATTGTGTTGTAGTAATTTGAGTGTTGGACTAGATTCAAGTTCACTGCTGTTCAAATCTGTGTTCTGATACAGATACCCATTGGGTGACCTTCAGCAAGTTATATTCTCCCAGCCTTTGAGGAAGGGAATGGCAAACCTCTGAATAACTCTTTCCAATAAACCCCTAGGATGAGGCCACTATACTTTGAAGTGGTGTGGTAGAAGCTCCTTCCTTGGAGGCTTTTAAACAGATGCTGGATGGACATCTCAGGGGTAATCTGATGGTGCCTTTCCTACATGGCAGGGGGTTGGACTGAATGGCCCATGTGGTCTTTTCCAACGTATGATTCTATGCAAAGATACAGAATGGGGACAATGCCTGGCTTGAGAGCAGTACGTGTGAAAAAGATCTTGGAGTCCTCGTGGACAACAAGTTAAACATGAGCCAACAATGTGATGTGCGGCAAAAAAAGCCAATGGGATTTTGGCCTGCATCAATAGGAGCATAGTGTCTAGATCTAGGGAAGTCATGCTACCCCTCTATTCTGCTTTGTTTAGACCACATCTGGAATATTGTGTCCAATTCTGGACACCACAATTCAAGAGAGATATTGACAAGCTGGAATGTGTCCAGAGGAGGGCGACTAAAATGATCAAGGGTCTGGAGAACAAGCCCTATGAGGAGCGGCTTAAGGAGCTGGGCATCTTTAGCCTGAAGAAGAGAAGGCTGAGAGGAGATATGATAGCCATGTATAAATATGTGAGAGGAAGCCACAGGAGGGAGGAGGGAGCAAGCTTGTTTTCTGCTTCCTTGGAGACTAGGACGCGGAACAATGGCTTCAAACTACAAGAGAGGATATTCCATCTGAACACGAGGAAGAACTTCCTGACTGTGAGAGCTGTTCAGCAGTGGAACTCTCTGCCCCAGCGTGTGGTGGAGGCTCCTTCTTTGGAAGCTTTTAAACAGAGGCTGGATGGCCATTTGTCAGGGGTGCTTTGAATGCTGTTTTCTTGCTTCTTGGCAGGGGGTTGGACTGGATGGCCCATGAGGTCTCTTCCAACTCTTTGATTCTATGATTCTATTCTAAATTTACTTGAAGACACCGAAGGATACCAATTTGTAATATTGACCAAGGAAAGGTACACCCCAAAGTTCTGCAAATTGAGTGGGAAAACTCATACATGTCAAGATAAAGCAACTTCTGCTCTTCCCCAAAGCATTCTGCCTTGAGTACTGTGTACAGAATATTAAACTGAAGAGGGTTAAATATCCAAACGTCTCTTCTGTATACGTTTTATGTGCTTATATATGAAAGCTATTAAACAGATTATTCAAAATAAGATGTTTGCTTCCTTCTCCCTCCCCATTTTTTCCACATTGCAGAACTCGCAAGAGAGCTGAATTTCTCTGTTGATGAAATTAATCAAATCAGAGTGGAAAACCCAAACTCTTTGATTGCTCAGAGCTTCATGTTGTTAAAGAAATGGGTTATCAGAGATGGGAAAAATGCTACAAGTAAGTTTAACATTAATAATTATTTAGAAATATGTATGTCTATGGCTGGCAGCATGGTATAGTGGTTGGTGTATTGGACTACAACTCGGGGCCTAGGAGTCAAATATCCACTTAGCCATAAAAACCATGGGAAGGTTGCACATATCATAGTCTCGTAGGAAGGCAATGGCAATCTTCTGAACAAATATTGCCAAGAAAACCCTTTGATAGATTTGACTTAGGGTCACCATAAGTCAGGAACGAGTTGACAGTGTATGTCTATACTTTGTAAAGTTCTTGTATGGCACAGCTCAATCTAAATCTGGGTTGCTGTGAATTCCTCGTGCTCTCATTATCGTAAGTAGTTTGTTAGAAAGTCCTAATCTTGTTTGTAGTTGGACAAATATTTCTCCTTCGTCAGCCTAGTTAATTTGTCCATCTCAGCAGACTCACAGGTCTTCATCAGCTGTTGTCATCATTTTTTAATCTTCCATTATCTGGGTTTTCTCTTTCCTTCTGTATGCTGATTTTGCTGTCAATTCTCTTCCTCAATAAATTCAATTGACAGAAAATCAAATCACCAATTTGCCATCTTACAGAATTCACCTCCACATCTCTATAAAGCTTTCTCTGATTGGTCCCAAGAAAATCCTGTTGATTGGTCTTATTTCCCATATTACTAAGGTCTTTGTATGGAACTTTCACAAAGTCAGCACCTCCTCCAGACGTCTTCAAACAAGTAACTTCCATGTGCTGTTTTGATTTATGATTTTCTTCCACTCCTTAACATCAAGGAGTGTAATTACTTCCATAATTTTCTCCTTATTTCTTAAGTTTTTGTCTGGTTTTTTTTTTTTTTGTAGTTTGATAAACTTTTTCTGTGTTTTTATGATAGAATCAATTAGGAAATGACATTTATAACCCAGGAAGAAAAAGTAATGTTACATAGTGTAATCAATTCATCAGTAGCGGCTTAAGGAGCTGGGCATGTTTAGCCTGAAGAAGAGAAAGCTGAGAGGAGATATGATAGCCATGTATAAATATGTGAGAGGAAGCCACAGGGAGGAGGGAGCAAGCTTGTTTTCTGCTTCCCTGGAGACTAGGATGCGGAACAATGGCTTCAAACTAAAAGAAAGGAGATTCCATCTGAACATGAGGAAGAACTTCCTGACTGTGAAAGCCATTCAGCAGTGGAACTCTCTGCCCTGGAGTGTGGTGGAGACTCCTTCTTTGGAAGCTTTTAAACAGAAGCTGGATGGCCATCTGTCAGGGGTGATTTGAATGCAATATTCCTGCTTCTTGGCAGGGGGTTGGACTGGATGGCTCATGAGGTCTCTTCCAACTCTTTGATTCTATGATTCTAAGTTAGGATTTGTTATGATCAAGGAATAAATGATCAGATTACATTTGACCATATATGACATGAAGATGTCAGGATAGCCTTAACATAAGGCATATAAAATCTTATTATTTCCACTAGTGCAATGTAGAGCTCTTTTTGTCCATTTTACATAAGCCTTTTTGGATGTTAGAGCTCCATGCGTGTTTAGGAACCCTTTGTGTGTGCATATACCCACATTTTACTGATTATGCAAAAAAAATTTGGATCCATAGGATGGCAAATTGCTGTGTTTATCTTCTATTTTTTTTAAAAAAATGATAAAGCTGAGGTAGTAGTCTATAGTTCACTTTAATGCAGAAAAACTTCATCATCAGTTTTCAGTCTCTTAGAGTCTTTCATTTCTTTTTCTATGGAGATGCTGGGGGTTGAATGTGGATTCTTCTGCATGGATCATTTTTTAATATATATATTTTCTCCACAGCTGATGCCTTAACTTCTGTATTGACAAAAATCAATCGGATTGACATTGTCACCTTGTTGGAAGGACCAATATTTGATTATGGAAACATTTCCGGCACCAGGAGCTTTGCAGACGAAAATAATGTTTTCCATGATCCCGTTGATGGTAAACCGAACTAATTTCATTTTGATTATTTGTTTCTTCCAAGTGTGTGACTGGAGGAAATATTTTTATCTTATAACATAGACAATGAGAGATGAAACCATTCTGTAAAAACGAGATACTTGAAATGTATTTTTGTTTTTCAGTGGTAAAGATATTTATTCTTGAAATGAGCTATAAATATAACTGTTTATATTATTTTTCATTTTTAAGATCTGTTGATAGGTTGCTTTCTAATTATTTCAGGTGCCTTTTTTATAAAATGTTATTTTCTAGATAATTATAATTCTGTAATTGTGAATGTTTTCTTACGCTTATTTTCTTAAAATACATATCCGTTTTGCTACCTTCTGCAAGGATTTTCTGGCTGTGTGCAGAGCGTATGAGCTCATTCATCCCTCAGCAGTAATATCACCATGCTACAGAAATAAGTTCTGTGAACATTTTAAGAAATTCCTCTTGAAATGTTGCTTGTGCAGTTTGATCATAAGACAAAATGTCTTTCCTACAAAGAGAATGTGCTTCTCTTTTGTTGCTTTCTGTCCTTCCTCTCCTCTGAACTTTCCTCAAGCTTCTTGTCCTCAACAAGACCAGACTACATTTACCTTTCTCTCAGTTGATTCAGAAAGAACTCATTAGTGTACATTACTCTCTAGATGGCACAACTTAACAATAAACTCTTTTTTCCTTCGCTTTCTCAAGCTGTCCAGCCTAATATTTACATGCACATCCTTGTTTTGTGAGCCGCTCTGATGTTTTGTGAGCTGCCCTGATTTTTTGTGAGCTGGGGTCTCATAAATGGATAAATACATGTGGGAATATAGTTAACGTGTCATTTCATGTGTCTGTGTGTTCAGTCTAACTACTAGTGCAGAGATGGACAACTTTTGTATTTCTTGTAGCCACTCTATTTATCCAGCCAGTGTTATTGGCATTTTAAACGTTTTTCAAACAGTCTAAACCAGGAGTCCTCAAACTAAGGCCCGGGGGCTGGATACGGCCCTCCAAGGTCATTTACCTGGCCCTCATTCAAGGTCAACCTAAGTCTGAAATAACTTGAAAACAAACAACAATCGTATCACATCAGCCAAAAGCAGGCCCACACTTCCCATTGAAATACTAATAAGTTTATATTTGTTAAATTATATATGTTAAATTGTTCTTCATTTTCATTATTGTATTGTTTTTAAGTGTTTTTTGCACTACAGATAAAATATGTACAGTGTGCATAGGAATTCATTTTTTTTCCAAATTATAATTCGGCCCTCCAACAGTTTGAGGGACTGTGACCTGGCCCTCTGTTTAAAAAGTTTGAGGACCCCTGGTCTAAATTATCATGGATGCCCAGGTTTTATAACAAAGTTGGCATTGTGTTGACAAAATTGTGTCATGGCAGTAAAACACTTAGACCAGTGGTTCTCAGCCTGTGAATCCCCGGATATTTTGGTCCTCAACTCCCAGAGATCCTAACAGTTGGTAAACTGGTTGGGATTTCTGGGAATTGTAGGACAAAACACCTGAGGACCCACAGGTTGAGAATAACTCATGAACTGCTAGACAGAGGAAATTTTCTGGAAGCTAACTGGCAGCTCTTTTCTGCTCAATATGCTCTTGACATTTGCTGTGGGAAAATATTAGGTTAACATTTGGTAGACCATATTCAGTTGTTTTAAGGCTGGATGTGGCTCATAGTCCCCAGTTGGCCATCCCTGTCCTAGAAGATTGTTGTGCTCTCATGCTCATTGCCTATCTTTTCTTTTCTCTTTTTATTTGATCAGTGTTTCTGATTGTACCCATGTCACCAAGATCGCCTCAGTCTCCAAGATCTCCAAGATCTCCTTACTCATCTGAGTCCTCTCATCTTTATAGTTTTGCTGTTCCTGAAATTTATATCTAGATCCTCCCCAATCTGTAGCTTCTGATGTACATCCTTCTAATGTTAGATTTTGCCTCTGCTGTGTTTTAAGAGTGTGTTACACCTTGATGTTGTCATTGAGATTCATTTCCATTTCTAAAACTGCTGCATTCTCAGAGTGCAGTGACTAAATTGAAGTATCTAGGATTATGCACCACATTCCTAATACAAGGCAAGTTAGTATATCTTTGGGAGAACATATATTGTGAAAGAGATTATCAAAATAATCAAGCCTGTTCTTGTGGAAGAGGCTTATTGGAAAACTTGCCTGTTGATCAATGTTATCTTATTCTTTACTATTTATACATGGTGAATGACTTTAAAAAGAGCAGAGATGAAATTTTTGTTACCAAATTCTAGCATTGACATCCAGCCAGGTAGAACCAATCTATTCAGCAACAATCTATACCATATTCAGCTATTTGGTATTATCAAAAATTCGCTAGTTACAAAACAAATCATTAAAGTGATTGGAGATCCAGTCACTGTAAACTTTCAATGTGTATAGCAGGCTATTCATTTAAAATAATAATAAGCAATAGACCTGCTATTCTAGTGGGGCTTTTCCAACTACAGATTTGTTGTTTCCTCTAAGAAAATTACACTCATTAATACATTCCTAAATCAATTACTGTTGTCATCTCATGTATTTGCCATATATTATATAATTAATAAGCCATTCTGCATGCATGCTTATATGTATCGCTCCATGCTTCATTACAATCAGTCCAAATGTAACTGTCTTCCCTAGGTTATCCCACGATTCAAATGGAACTGGAAACTCCCACTGGGTTACGCCACATGCCACCCAGTCATTCCCATCAAGATGATTTCTGTAGTGATTTCTCTAGTATAGAGTCACCCCTTAGAACTCCCAGTAGACTGAGTGACGTGTTAGTAACTTTACAGGGCAACGTAGATGATACAGCAAAAGGACCTCCAGTGGTGATTGAAGAAGACACTTCACTGGAAGATGGCAAACAACAATTCTCAGTGCCTAGAAAAGGAACATCTAAAGATCCAGGCCAGATCCAAGTGGAGGAGATGGACCTGACTGATTACCCTCAACATCTTGGTAGTTATGCTGGGATTCCAAAACAAATGCAGTGTGAAGAAACTAGTCCGACGCTAGTGAGAACTGAACATCATGAGAGAGAAAAGTCTGGTACTGATGAGGAGATGACAGAAGAAAAGCTTAAATCTCTGTTTGAAGATATTCACCTTGATGAAATTGTTGAGTCTGAGGAGATGACGGAAGAAAAGGTCTTGTCTATTCTTAAGTATGTGAAGCAGGCAGAACAGGAACTATCTTCAATTACAGGTTGGCAGAGTGAAGCCTCCAGTGTCAACGTGGAACCGCCGACACCAGGACGCAGAATAAGTGGGGATTTGCTGGATCAACGAGATGAAAGGTATGGAAGTGGTTAAGCAAGTCTGTTTCAGTTTCAAAATGTTCTAAATCTCAAAATAATTGCAATGTTCTTCAATTTGTATGTAGTCTCCATCACCCCCTCCAAATGCCGCTTGAGGTTTCTAAATATTGTGGTTATATAAATAAACAACAGTCACAATTATATTTCTCTATCAATGGTATTTTATAAATCAGTTATCCAGAAATGTTCTCAAGGCAGATTTAAAGTGGAACATTGGAAACACAACCAGCATCAAAAGTTGAAACTCCATTATAAAAGTATTGTTTAGAAACCTATATAAGTTAACCTCATACATAAATTGAAAGCAGGTTTGAGGGCCAAAATTATGGATTGTTTCATTCATTTGTTTATAACAGTAAAGCTTTGGGGCATGTAACAAACAAATATTTTCTTCTTTTAAAAAAAATGCATAGAGGGATCATATTTAGGAAGAGCTAAATAGAGGAGGTGTCGCAGCTCAGGATAACACCACACTCCAAGGCTGTAGGTTTTGTAGTTTATTAAAGAAAAAGCAAAATCATAAACATAGAAATAAGGTTGCAGAAGTTCAATAGCCAAAAACAGAGTCTTAAATGCAAAGGCAGAGTTTCCAAGGTCCAGAGGCAAATAACATGAAGTATTATCCACAAGCATGGGTCAAACCAGAATCCATGGCAGTATGAGAAAGTCCCCAGAAGCCAAGATCAAAACCAAAGTCCCAAAGAGCCAAAGCTTTCCCCAAAAACCAAGGCAATTCCAGAGAAGTTAACAGGGTGTAAGCAAAGTTGCACTGACAAAGGAATCAGATTGTTAAATATGTTTCCCTAGCATGAAAGCTTGCTAACAAACTTCCTGTTTGTTGGCAAGCCAAGCACTTCGGCGTACCCTTAATTGCAAACGGTCCTCCCTAATCAAATCCCCATCACCTTCAAGGCCAGGTAACTCATTATCCTGGGATTGGTCACCCTGGGAACCGAGAGGCACAGAGCTCCCAGATGATCTAAAACAACATTCCTTTCTCTGGAAACAGAAATGCAGTCTCTTCTTCAGAATCAACACTGTCTGCCTCAACCACAGGGACATGTTCAGAAATCTGTAACCCATCGTCCTCCTCATCCTGAGGAAACTCAGGCTCAAAAAGCTCAGGCTCAAAGTGAGCCACAACAGGAGGGGACCTGTTTATTTGAGGGATCACAATTGAGGAGGTGTGTGAAAATTGTATTGATGTTTGCATCAGTACAAATATAAATAGGAATAGGGATATAAATGAAGAAAAAGAATAAGAAAATGACCTGAAAAAGGAAGACAGAAGAGCAGTGCAAACGCCAGGGGCAGGACAGGGCAAAGAAGCGGTGTTTCCATCCCATCTCCTTCCCTTCTTTTGCAACTTCTTTTTGGGCTCAAGATGCAGGGGAGCCCAAAGAATACATCATGGGCATCATTTTGTGCACTTGAGGTGGAGGGGAGCTGTAGTGGCCATTTTTAATAGGGACTTATGGTATACGTTCTGTGCTCTTTGCCATTTTGGGCACTTGAGATAGGTACAGCCTGGTGATGAGCATTTTTAATAGGAGTTTATTGTAGTCCCTCTGCAAGTCTCATGAGCCTTGGAGGAAAGCTACCAAGACTTGTGAAGACCTCTCAGATGTGTAGTCTTAAAAGCATGACTTTCCCACACTCTGATTCATCTACTCTGTGGTGTAATGGTTCATTTTCTAGAGGTAAGGCAAAGTAAAAACATTTATCAGCCAATTGCTTTTTCTCCCTGCGTTTTCCCCCATTTGATCTTATTAGTTTTTGTTTCTGAGGGACTATTCTCCTGAGGGACTGTGAAACATGAAGTAACCAGGATAATGAGCAAAGGAAATAGAAGGTGTTGCCTGCAATATTAACTACAACCAAACTGCATCACACCTTTTCACTTTCTTTACAGGTTCTATCAATCATCTACACAGGCCATTCTGCTCCTTTCCCATTTACCTGGCTTACCTTCGATGCAAAGGGATAGAATGAGATATTTTAGAGCAGGGGTCCTCAAACTGAGACCCGGGGGCCGGATACGGCCCTCCAAGGTCATTTACCCGGCCCTCGCTCAGGGTCAACCTAAATCTGAAATGACTTGAAAGCACACAACAACCACAACAATCCTATCTCATCATCCAAAAGCAAGCTCACACTTCTCACTGAAATACTCATAAGTTATTTGCTAAAATTGTTCTTCATTTTAATTATTGTATTTTTAAAGTGTTTTTTGCACTACAAGTAAGATATGTGCAGTGTGCATAGGAATTCATTCATTTTTTTAAAATTATAATCCGGCCCTCCAACAGTTTGAGGAACTGTGACCTGGCCCTCTGTTTAAAGAGTTTGAGGACCCCCTGTTTTAGGGGAAATAAGATGCTGTTGCCCTCACAACAACACCTTACAGCTGTTACACAAACTATTCGGACAACAAGCTTTCACACTGCAATGCTCTCATGACTTCCTTGCCATTCTTCTAGTCCTGACCTCAAGATACAGATGACCAAGGGGTTTATATTATGGTGGCAACATCTGTACCATCATATTGTCGATGTGAATATAAGAGCCATAATGATTCAGACCAGAGCCTATGTTGTTCACTATTATGGTAACATTACCAGTAGGAAGACCTCCTACAGCATGTGCTTGCACCCTGAATCTTGTGAATCCCAGAAACTTATATATAGAAGCATTCTAGGTCTGATATTTCTTATGATAGATAAGGTATCCTGACTAATTGTTATTGATGGCACATTCCCCTTAATTTATGCAGACCCATTTGAAAACCATCCAAGTTAGCAGCCATGATTGTATTTAGTGGCACCAGTTCTACAGTTTTAATTGGATGCTGTGTGAAAAAGAACTTTATTTAATTTATTATTTATTTACTATATTTATATACTGTCCCTCGCAGCCCGGAGGTGACTTGGGGCAGTTTACAGTTGGTACCAAGACCATAAAATTTATGGTCTTATTTTTATTGATTTTATTGATTCTGTTATGGTTTTATTATTTTCTCATAGGGATGTTGCTTCCATTACTTGATCATTTTGGTTGTCTTTTCCCTGCTTAACTATGTATTACATTAAGGGGCCTACTCATCGAAGTATTTCATAGAATCATAGAGTTGGAAGAGACCTCATGGGCCTTCCAGTCCAACCCCCTGCCAAGAAGCAGGAAAATTGCATTCAAAGCACCCCCGACAGATGGCCACCCAGCCTCTGTTTAAAAGCTTCCAAAGAAGGAGCCTCCACCACACTCCAGGGCAGAGAGTTCCACTGCTGAATGGCTTTCACAGTCAGGAAGTTCTTCCTCATGTTCAGATGGAATCTCCTTTCTTGTAGTTTGAAGCCATTGTTCCGGGTCCTAGTCTCCAGGGAAGCAGAAAACAAGCTTGCTCCCTCCTCCCTGTGACTTCCTCGGCTATCATGTCTCCTCTCAGCCTTCTCTTCTTCAGGCTATACATGCCCAGCTCCTTAAGCCGCTCCTCAGATGTAGTTGCACTGTGGGTGGTATGGTACTTTGCAGCTTTCTGTTCCTTTTGTAATTATGCCCAATATTAAAGTAGCCTTTTTTATAACAGCTGCACACTGACCTTATATTTTCACCATGTCACTGTCTCTTCAGAGCCCATCAGTGTATGTGAAAAGTGGGATTCCACCCCCCAAACCCCCTTATACACTACTTTCCACTTGCTTTAATTTGAATCACAATTGCCATTTTGCTGTCCATTATCTCAATTTAAGTAGAACCTTTTGGAACTCTTTTTTGTTCTCACTTGACAATTTAATGCCATCTGAAAATATGACCACAACTCATTCCTAATCCATAGGGTACACTGCTCAATTGAGCTACACTGCTCAATTTTAGTGGGTTTGTAACATTTTAAGAACCATGGGATTTGTGTAGTTTAGTTACAATTCCCAGCTGCAGCTGAACGTTTCATTTGGATATAGGGATGGCATATCGTTTTGACTGGTGTCATTATTGAATTGTTTGTCTATCTGTCCCTGCTTCCTTTTGTAGCCCTGACCAATGTAGAGATTCTATTACCTCATATCTGAAAGGAGAAGCAGGAAAACTGGAAACCAATGGAAGTTACTCGGAATCCGCAAAAGAAGTAAAGACAAAGCCTTTTGCTCAAGAGTCTGCGAACGGTCTAGGAAAGCAAAGCGAGAAGGAAACTGTGAAACCAAAAATGCAAAGTGCTCTCCGAACTGAGCAACACATGATCTCGCATCAGAAATCTTTGCAAGAATCTAGCAAGCCAGCAGTTGATGCGCCTAAAACCTCTGTGCCTGTCAGCATGAAAAAGACAAGCTGGAATACTTCCAACGACAGCAAAATGAGACTAAAAGCTGAGGAAGAAGCGGGAGCAACAGCCTCCGAACCAAAGGTATAAATCTCCGCTGTTTTTGTTCATACAGAATGGCAATTATTCTGTGGCTACATCCTATATCACCCTTTTTATATCTCCCAAGGCCAACATCCAGAGAATTGCATTGCTAGGACCCAGATTTAAGTTTAGAACAAGGAGGGAAGAAATGGCACAGTCACATCAGATCTATAGAGGGGATAGGGGAGAGTAGTTATTTAGCAATAAGAACCACATCCATCATTCAAAACTGGTTTAGTGATTGTGGACAGAGTTTGGCGATATCCTGCTAATTATTTAGTATAGCATTTCAAACATTTCCCATGCCATAAAAGATAAAAATGTCCTTTTATAATCAGATAAACAGAGATTGTCTATATATCTTTCTTCAGCCATGACAAGAAATACTAGATTCAGAGGGCTGGAAAGAGAGGTCATAGAGGATTGGAAAGGATTTCTACTGGAAACCTAGCTATGCCTCCAAATTGGATGGGTAGGGTGCACTAAACTCTCCGCAAAAAACAAACATGTTTGGCTAAAGTGTTGGGTGTGTGTTTATTGCCATCTCTTGCCAGTAGAGAGCCAGATGAAGGTGCGATCATTGGTTAGCTAGGCCTGGAAGTTGTATAAATGATAGGAAGACCTCAGGATGGATTTGAAATTCATCTTTAAACACAAAGCCATTTTGCAGCCTATACAAGAGGCCACAGAGGCCTGATGTCACACGTGGAGAGCCCACTGGTGATGACGCAAGCTGAGTCACCATAAGGGTCCCTTTGCCCACTTAGCTTCACAGAAAATATAGTTCTAAGAAACATGTTTAGGACCACTGGGAGTTGGGAATCTTGAGGATGAACCTGGCATGCTAACAGTAGATTACCAAGGCCAACAGAAGAAACCAAGAGTTTAGTAGTGAAGTTTGGCAGGTTTCCAAAGATTCCTCTCTGTGAGTAAACAGTGTCTTTTAAGGAAACAGCATAATGGCTGTACCTGTACAAACAACACAATAGCCCACTTGTACACAGAAAGAAAAATGAATCAGTTCAGCCAATAATGTGACTGGTGAAACTTAATATACAGTTCCAAATCATAGCATTCACAAAACAATATTATATGCGTTTGGTACAGTCACTCCAAAAAGTATTATTATTATTATTATTATTATTATTATTATTATTAACTTTATTTGTACCCCACTAACATCTCCTGAAGGACTCGGTATGGCTTACAAAGGTCAAGGCCCTCAATAAAACAACAGTATAACAAATACAACAATAAAACTCATAAAGCAAACCAATAAACATTAAAGCAGTAACAGTAAAACATTAAAACAATACATCAAAAGTATTAATGTTTTATGTTCTTGTGTCAAGTTGAACTTAAATCCGTAGACCACAACCGGTTTTGGCCTCACTTCCGGCCTTCCTCTGGTGGAAAGATTATAAACTCGGTACTTGTTCCCCTTAGAAACATAGGTTTTTATGTTTAGTGGGATAAGATACTCTGCTATGCGTTTGATTCTAATTTCGAGTATCGGTTGTGGAGTACGGATTTAAGTTCAACTCAACGCAAGAACATACAACGTTGATACTTTTTTGAGTGACTGTACCAAACGCATATAATATTGTTTTGTGAATGCTATAATTCAGAATTGTATAATAAGTTTCACCAGTCACATTATTGGCTGAACTGGTTTATTTTTCTTTCTGCTTACAAGCGGGGCCATTGGGTTGTATGTATTAACTCAGGAACCCATTCATATTGTACCTGTACAAACTCCTGTTGGGTCTGAAAATCTTTTGAGGCCAATGTCGCCTTGACTGTAGTAGAGTGTTCCCAAATTCAAACAAGAGCCAGCGCCGAGAGCAGAATTACACACTTTCCCATTGCATTGTTATGGGGGATGAACTAATGTTGGGAATAACCTTTTCCTCCTCCCCTCTGTTCCTGCTTAGATTCATGTTTGTCTTTTAAATGAGCTGGTAAAATGTACTAAAAACTGCATTTATCAGGAATTTAGTGACAGTGACAGTGACATTGTGATTGGGAGTGATTCAAGCTCAGATGAAGAACAGAGAATCACCACGAGAGTGTATCGCCGGCGTTTGATTCTGAAGGTATCATATGTTAAGAGCCCATTGGCATGGCCTAGGTCCTGGACTGTGATGCTAATATAGTGCTGTTCACAATTAAACTCCCCTGTGTGGTTTGATATTTATCTCATAACTGGCAAGTTAAACATTAGATTTTTGTGGTGAGAAACCACCAAACTGCATGATAGATTGTCTTTCATAATCCCACTGTGTACTGCATGGTTTCTTTTCATCGGTATATATAGATATAGACAAATGTTGCTGGATATAATAAAATTAAACTGGATTAGGGGCAATTATAGATTTATTTATTTATTTGCATTTCTATACCACTCTCTCTCACCCTGGGGGGGGGGGACGACTGTAAAAGAGATACCCTTTTAAAAAAAATGATTTTTATTAGACATATTTCAGTGAATACAGTAATTAAAAAAATAAGATATTTAAAACAGTAAAGCGTGTTTGGGACAAAGCAGGAAATAGAATAAGGGGGAAAGAGTGGGGAAGATTTGGGGGAAGGAAGGGGCCCTATGTTGAGAATCTAAGATTGGGGAGGATGCAGGGACGGAACTGGGTTAGACGGGGTAGGGTTAGGGTTGCAGAAATGGTTGGGGGGGTTGTCCATGTAGGGGAGTTTTGACTTCTGAATCATCTTCTCCGCGTCCTGAGCTTTAGGTTTCATTCTGGATTTCTTCTTGTGGTTTCTCCCTTCTAATCCTATTTTGGTTTCCTTCTAATTTCTTCTCGTCTCTCTCTAATTCTGATTCCTTTCCATAAAACCATCAAATAGCTTCCAATCGGTTCTCTTAAGTGGGCATCCTTGTGAATCTTTTAACGCGTAGGTCAGGGTGTCCATTTCTTTTATTTCAAGAACTTTATTTAGCCATTCTTCTCTTGCTGGTACTACACTTAATTTCTATTTCTTGGCAAACACTACTCTTGCTGCTGTCGTTAGGTAAGTAAGTAGAATATCTTTGTTTGTATCCAACTCGCATTCTTCGTCGAATATTCCCAGTAGAAAGCATTCTGCTTTTTTTCTGTATCTTTATTTTGAGAATCTTCTCACATGTTTCATTTATCTTTTTCCAAAAAATTTGGGCTTTAGGGCAGGTCCACCATTGATGGAAAAAAGTTTCTATTTGATCTTCACACTTCCAGCATTTGTTGCTGGTTTTTTTTGTACATTAGTCCTAACTTCTGAGGCGTCATGTACCATCTATGGAACATCTAATAGCAATTCTCTTTTAAATCTGTGGAATAGGTATATTTAATTTTCTTGGACCAAATTTGTTCCCATTCTTTAAACTTGATTGGTCTACCGATGTTTTTCACCCATTTTATCATGCACACCTTGACTGATTCCGTCTCTGTTGCCCATCAGATACCCTGATAGAAGAGATTTATTACACGCTGCCACCAAATATAGAACTCTTCCACAAGCTATGTGTGTAGTTTGTATGAGGCACACAGAGGCTTTTGTTTGGTATGAACAAAGAAAGATGTTTATTTATTTACTTAGAGCAGGCACAGAAGCTTACTGGTTGCAATATTCTTGTACAAAGTGTTTTGGTTTCAGAAGTAGTTCAGTGCTTGAATTACAGATTCCAGTCAAAACCTTTAAACTGAGAAACTTCTAGTATTCCACTAAACAGTTCCTTAATACAAACAGCCCAATTCTCCAGGGTCTGTCCAAACCAATAGTTCTTCCTTTGAAGTAACCATTATATAGCACAAGCTAATCTTCCTTCTTCCTCCCTTTTCGAATCCCAAACTCCTAATTGCTATTTCCAAACTCCCACTGACAATTCTAAACTCCAACTGTCATTTTCAAAACTTCCAACTGACATTTAAAATGGCTCTTTTTTTCCCCTTGCCTTCTCTTGGCTCCACCCACTTTCTCCCTCCAGGGCTATTGACCAATCAGGTGGCGACACATTCCCTCAAGGCTGCCTGTTGGCTCGCCCCCCCCCCCTTTTTTTTGGCTCTTGTGCTTACAAAATGGATGCCTGCTGGCCACCTTTTGGCTCTAAGCTAAGAAAATGGCTGCTGGGCTTTTGGCCTTTAAGGAACCAAACACCAGCCCTGCACAGTAGGCCAGTACATTACAGGGACTTACAGTGGTGTAAAACATGGCAAAATTCAATGCTGCCAATATATATATATATAAAAGCAATACGTAACATTCACTAAAATCGATAACATATAAACATGAATTAAACCAAATTTTTTGGCTGTGTCAGTACTTACTTAGGCGATCCCTCGCTTTCCGAGGATGATTGTTTTCCAGTGTTCTTGTGGGTCCGTATGTGGCTGTGGAGCCCTATTCTTGCTCTGCATCTTCTTCCGCAGTGAGGGCATTGGTTTCCAGGTGGAAGGCGGTCTCGGTCGGGGTTGGCTTGACATGCCTTCCTCTTGGCACGCTTCTTCCTTTCACCTCCATTCGTGCCTCTTCAAATTCTGCAGCACTGCTGGTCACAGCTGACCTCCAGCTGACCAGCTCAAGGGCCAGGGCTTCCCAGTTCTCAGTGTCTATGCCAGAGTTTTTAAGGTTGGTCATGTCAGTAGCGACCTGAGAAACGGCAAGTCGCTTCTGGTGCGAGATAATTGGCCGTCTGCAAGTACGTTGCCCAGGAGACGCCTGGATGATGTTTTATCATCCTTGTGGAAGGCCTCTCTCATGTCCCTGCATGAGGAGCTGGAGCTGATAGAGGGAGCTCATCCGCCTCTCCCCGGATTCGAACCTGCGACCTCGTCCTGCCAGCACAGGGGTTTAACCCACTGCGCCACCGGGGGCTCCGGTTTTAAACCATTAAAACCATTAAAACACTATACATAAAACACCATCACATAAACATAGACATATTAACATTAGACCATTCCCATTGTCATCATTTTGATGCTTTATTTATGGCTATATTGTGATAGGTATTATTCTGCAATACTATCACTTGCCAAACACCTGCATGCACAGCCAAGTTTTTTTCCCTGAACACCTGGAGGAAGGGGCTGATCTAATCTCACTGGGAAGGGAGTTCCACAGCCTAGGGGCCATCACCGAGAAGTCCCTGTCTCTCGTCCCCACATCTCATCTGTGAAGGCGGCAAGACTGAGAGCAGGACCTCCCTAGCCGATCCTAACACTCGGACTGGTTCATAAAGGGAGATACGTTCAGGCAGATAAGCTATTTATGGCTAGGAACAACACTAAAAATATTATATTTTGATCTCTCTTTTTAGCTGCCTGTCCCAGTGTAAACTGGGGCAGGCAACTTGTAACTGCTGGTGGTAGGAATATGCCATAGATGGATGAAAGGGAGCAAGGAAAGGCATACCTGAACAGTGGGTTGTTGTAGGTTTTTTCGAGCTATATGGCCATGGTCTAGAGGCATTCTCTCCTGACGTTTCTCCTGCATCTATGGCAAGCATCCTCAGAGGTAGTGAGGTCTGCTGGAACTAGGAAAAAGGGTTTATATATCTGTGGAATGAGCAGGGTGAGACAAAGGACTCTTGTCTGCTAGAGCTAGGTGTGAATGTTTCAACTGACCACCTTGATTAGCATATAATGGCCTGACGTTGCCTAGAGCAAACTTTTGTTGAGAAGTGATTAGATGTCCTTGTTTGTTTCCTCTCTGTTGTTGTGCTGTTGTAATTTTAGAGTTTTTTTAATACTGGTAGCCAGATTTTGTTCATTTTCATGGTTTCCTCCTTTCTGTTGAAATTGTCCACATGCTTGTGTATTTCAATGGCTTCTCTGTGTAGTCTGAAATGGTGGTTGTTAGAGTGGTCCAGCATTTCTGTGTTCTCAAATAATATGCTGTGCCCAGGTTGGTTCAGCAGGTGCTCTGCTATGGCTGATTTCTGCAGTAGTCTGCAGTGCCTTTCATGTTCCTTGATTCATGTTTGGGCGCTGAGTTTGGTGGTCCCTATGTAGAAAGCCTTCGGCAATACATTCATACCTGAACAAAAAATTCCACAATCTCCTTTAAAATGAAGATGTATGGAAATGTGTTTGCATCCAAGAGAACACCTTACTAGGAATCCCTAGGTCCTCTAGCATGTCATCATAGAGTCACACTGGAGAACCTAGAGATTCCTAGGGAAAACATTTTAATCAAATCTTATAATAATCAAATCTGCAAAAGGCAAACCTGCAAATGTAAAAGGTCAATGGTCCATGGTTATTTTGATATCATAACTGCACTCAGTTTTAGGCAGTGGTAGTGACAGTAGCAAAACATTATTTGTGAGTCATGATCACCTATGGATCTTAGTACAGTATGATCCCTCTCCTCAATATCCATGGGGCTATGTTCCTGAAGTTAGCATAGATCCGGGGTCCTCAAACGTTTTAAACAGAGGGCCAGGTCACAGTCCCTCAAACTGTTGGGGGGCTGGACTATAATTTGAAAAAAAAACCCATGAATGAATTCCTATGCGCATTGCACATATCTTATTTATAGTACAAAAAAACACTTAAAAACAATACACTAATCAAAATGAAGAACAATTTTAACAAATATAAACATTAGCATTTCAATGGGAAGTGTGGGCCTGTTTTTGACTGATGAGATAGGATTGTTGTTCTTGTTGCGTGCTTTCAAGTCAATTCGGACTTAGGTTGACCCTGAGCGAGGGCCGGGTAAATGACCTTGGAGGGATGTACCAGGCCCCTGGACCTAAGTTTGAGGACCCCTGGCATAGATCCATCAAACCATGTATAATAGAAAACTGTTGTTTTCAGTAAGATAAATGATGGAAGTACCAGGAAGAGGGTACAGATCAGGAGACCCCCAAATGAGTAAATGAAACATCAGATAAGTGAAACCATCATGCTCATGTATCATGCTCATAGATGCTCTGTATCATGCTCTTAGATGGGAGAGATTATTACTAGGAATCCCTAGGTCCTCTAGCATGTCATCATAGAGTCACACTGGAGAACCTAGAAATTCCTAGGGAAAACAAAGAAAAGTTTTACTTTTCTTTCTTCTTATAGAGACACACAGCTTTTTCAAGTGACAGAGATATGTTCCTAATACACAAATCAAGTTCTCAATAAATGGACATGAGTCTTAATTATAAAGAACTGATCAAGGAAATATTTATTTAAGGTGTACAACATTTGATGGTTATTCTATATTCTTTTAAATGTTGTAACAGTTGACTTTTATTAAACAGTTTTCAATATAACTCTCAGTATGGCTTTTACTTCCACCAGACTGGTTTTAAACTTATTTTACTGTGAAGTATCTTTCTTTTCTTAACTGACAATTCAAGGCACTGGCTTGCCTTTTTCTCCCTTCAGCTATCCCCACTAAAGTTATGGATTTCAACTGGGGTTTCTTTTCCCCTTAGCTCGCAAGCTAATTCTAATTTAAACAGGTCCAATTGACTCTCTAAACACACAAGCTGAAGACTTAAACCCCTAGGTTCGGTTTCTCCACACACCAGAACCCATCTTCCACTTTGGTTCCACTGATCAAAAGAAAACTGACTCTTTTAAAATGCCTGCCCTTGCCAAGTGGCAGTTAGCTCCGCCCCTTTGGCTTCTCTAACTTGGATACATTCTAACAGCAGGTTCAGTCGCTATGGCAACGCCTCAGCTCAGGCAACACATCAGCTGGCCTACACCTATCATATCCCAACATCAATAAACACATTTAAAACATACATTATAATTAGCTATTTCGTTACAGCTGGAATCCAGAGAAGTCTCTGTGTGCACACGAAATCAACCAAACAAACTTACCAGAGGGGAGTGAGTGGGTGAAAGGGATTGACCAACCTTTCTTTCTAGTGGCAGCCTCTCATAGAAGACTTGTGATTGCATATTTCCACAAAATGTCATGTGATACAGAAACAATGCGAAATACATTTGGTGGAGAATATTCTGAGTTACTGTTTACAGCAAGTAAAATCCAGCCTGGCATGATTTTGGATTGCTTGGTGTGATGCTGAACCTCCAGCGCCTGTGAACATGGGTAACCATGGCTAATCTTTTAACACGTTCTTTAGGGTGAGGAAGCAAAAAACATTCCTGGTGAATCTGTTACAGAAGAGCAGTTTACTGATGAAGAAGGCAACGTCGTCACTAGAAAAGTAATCCTTCTTTCCCATTTCATTCATCGCTTTCTCTCTCAGTATATAAATATAATGTTGATTTCTTTTTTGACCTCAACTTTGACCTTTCAGATTCAGGAAAGAAATAAATCATTATTTATTTTTTCCTATATTGCATCCCACAGGTTACCCGGAAAGTATTAAGGCGTGTTGTTATCCCCCATGAGAAAAAACATGATGCCATGGTAATCAAATTGTGTGGTGGCCTTCTAAAACCTAAGCGCTGCTGAATGATTAGAAGCTTGCAGCTTAACATTGGGCCATGCAAAGCAAAAATGCCTGTGCTTTTGACAAGATGCACATCAAAACTCAAAAGGATGATGATGATAATAATAATAATAATAATACTTTATTTATACCCATTCAACATAGTAAAAAAAGAGGTAAACATGATTTTCAAAGTATTATTGAAGGCTTTCATGGCCAGAATCACTGTGTTGTTGTGCCTGGATCTTCGTCTTTACTCTCGTGGCTTGTTCTCGGTCTTGCAGCTCTTCTGATGTCTGAGGTGGAGTATCCTTTGGCCTGTAGAGCCCAGTTTAGGTGGTTCAGTTCATCTTGGAAAAGGTGGGGTTCGCAGATTCTTCCACCCAAACATCCAGTTCACCATGGAAAACGAAAATGAAGGAAGACTGCCTTTTCTAGATGTCCTAGTCATCCGCAAACCAGATCAACAATTGGGTCACACCGTTTACAGAAAACCCACACACACAGATAGATATCTACATAAAAACTCCAACCATCACCCAAGTCAAAAAAGAAGCACCATTAAAGCCTTGGCAGGACCGTGCAAAAAGAATCTGCGAACCCCACCTCCTCCAAGATGAACTGAACCACCTAAACTGGGCTTTACAGGCCAATGGATACCCTGGTCATTTCACAGATATATAAACCCCTTTTCCTAGTTCCAACAGACCTCACTACCTCTGAGGATGCTTGCCATTTTCTCCTGACGTTTCGCCTGCATCTATGGTAAGCATCCTCAGAGGTAGTGAGGATGCTTGCCATAGATGCAGGTGAAACATCAGGAGAAATGCCTCTAGAACATGGCCATATAGCCCGAAAAAACCTACAACAACACAGTGATTCCGGCCATGAAAGCCTTCGACAATACATTGAGAGTAAAGAATTCAATTCTAAGTAATGTTAAAGACATTTAGAACGTGATAGTCCATCAACCGATGTGATATTACACCAGCTCATCATAAAATCCATTGTAGGACTGCCTCTGCTATACCAGAGCTGATTTTGAAAGTTTGTGTTTTGCAAGTCGGTAGAGTGGCTAAAACTGTGGTTTGTGTGCCTCTGAAATGTGTTCTGATTTAACAGCTTTGTACCTACTCTATTACAGCTATATGGGCCTCAAGGGAATAAGTTTGACAATAGCCTATGCTTTCTAAATATGTACCTTTTCTTTAAAGCAGGGAGAAGGATATAAATTGAAGACAAAGAAGGAAGTCCGGCACATGGAGAAGACAACATACTCATAACAGCCAAACAGCAAATGGTTAGTTTGATGCACTCTCTTTTCTTACAATTCCAAGGAAATATGATTCTTAGCAAGCAGCATATACTTTAAAATTTTTTGCTCTACACTCATTAAGTGTACAATCAACAGTCAGATCACTGTATTTACTTTTCATTTGCATGTAATTAATGTGTACATGCCATCTACCATCCAAAATGTTACGTAAATACTCAAGGAAGCCAAACCTGACTTTACAGGTTTCTATCAACTGACATGAAAACAAACATGGAGCTTATATTGCTGTAAGCCTGAGGTTAGGGAAATTTTTAATGGTATTGTTGTAAGTCAGGGGTCCTCAAACTAAGGCCCGGGGGCCGGATGCGGCCCTCCAAGGTCACTTACCCAGCCCTCGCTCAGGGTCAACCTAAGTCTGAAACGACTTGAAAGCACACAACAACAACAACAACAACAACCATCAGCCAAAAGCAGGTCCACACTTTCCATTGAAATACTAATATGTTTATATTTGTTAAAATTGTTCTTCGTTTTAATTATTGTATTGTTTGCATGTGTTTTTTGCACTACAAATAAGATATGTGCAGTTTGCACAGGAATTCATTCATGTTTTTTCCAAATTATAATCCGGCCCTCCAACAGTTTGAGGGACTGTGATCTGGCCCTCTGTTTAAAAAGTTTGAGGACCCCTGTTGTAAGTTATTATGTTATTCTATAACATTAGGTAATTGGGCTCCTGTGTTCGTTGCTTTATGATGTCTATTTGAATGTATTTTTATGTAATTGCTGTTTTTACCACTGTGCGCCGCTTTGAGCCCCATCCATGGGAGAAAAGCAGCATAAAATGAATTAATAATAATAATAATAATAATAATAATAATAATACTTTATTTATATCCCGCTTCATCTACCCCAGGGGGACTCGGTGCGGCTTACATGAGGCCATGCCCATCAGTGCAGTACATACATCGTAATACAAAAACATAACAATACCAGAAAATAAAATACATAAAATGCAAAGAAATATAATAAACGACACAGACAATATAAAACATACAATTAAAAATAGAGGATTTCACTGGGCAGGGCCGCATTCAAGGCTAAAATTTTAAAAACTCTGGGAGATAGGACAATGCAATATGTGAACTCTTGAGCTTGAATTGAATACTGTTTTTATAATAATAATAATGATGATGATGATGATGATGATGATGATGATGATGATGATGATGCTTTATTTATACCCTGCCTCCATCTCCCCAAGGGGACTCGGGGTGGCTTACATAAGGTCACTCCCATCAATACAGTAAGCACAATATAAACACAAAAAACACAACAGAAAATCAAAAAATAAATTACATAAAATGCAAAACCAATATCAATAAGTGACACAGCAGCATAAAGTCAAACATTAAAACACAAATGATCACACCAGGCAGGTCCAAATTCAAAGATAAAATTTTAGAACACTGGGAGATAGGAAAAAATGAAAATCAGGAAGGGGATCCGAGGAGGAAGCAGGATTTAATTGCACGAACCATAAAATAAAGTGTTTCTGAGGTATGCAGAGTTTGGTCAGGTTGTAGACACTAGTAGTTTGCGCACATACTGCAACGAGCGCATGCACCCTTCTTTGAATGCAGACGATTTGATTTGATCGCACACTCAAATCTTTGGTTTTCTGTTAGGAGTTTTGGGACCCAACGGGAGCACAGTTTCCTAAACTTTAGGTGTTCAGAAACAATGTTGTAAAGCACTGATCTCGACACATCAGGAAATTCGTTTGAGAGACCTGTTATTGTGAAGCGCCTGTTCTCACGAATCCTTGCTTCAACTGAAGCCACCAAATCGTCTGTAATCAAAGAAGGGCGACTGGAGCGGTCCTCATCATGGACGTTGTCACGGCCATCTTTGAATTGTCGTACCCACTTACGCACTTTGCTTTCACTCATAACAGTATCACCGTACACTTCACAAATCTGTCAATGAATTTCTGCAGCAGGCAGGTTCCTTGCTGACAAAAACCGTATCACTGAGTGAACCTCACATGCAGCGGGTGAGTTGATAGTCTTAAACATTTTTAAAGCACAGAACAGAACCGTACAGGTTAGCTACAGAGCGGAAACTGAGCACAGTTGTTCCCGAGGCATGCCGGTACACGACGCACGCGCTCGTTGCGGTATGCGCGCGAACTACTAGTGTCTACAACAAAACGGACCTTACTTAAAAAAATACCCCTCGTGTGTGTGTGTGTGTGTGTGTGTGTGTGTGTATATATATATATATATATATATATTCGGGTATATACAAATATATATGGTATATGAATTTTGTGTTTAGATTTGGGTGCTACTTCAAAGATATCTCATTATGTACATAAGGGCAAATATGGATGATCCCAAACACTTATATTTTGATAAGGGATAGTCACTGTGTAGCAGAGCAGTACGTAGGACTGGAATTTGATCATGTTTTCAAATGTACATTATGGATATTGATACCACTTTCTCTCTTTTTTTCTCCACCTTCTTCTCCTTTGACACAAGACTGTGTGTGCTTTTACTGCCAGTATTTTAGAGGAAAACTCAAGGAAGAGAAAAATTGACAGGAATTATCAAGCCACTGATAAAAGAAGTGTGTGTGCGTGTGTGTTTGCTGCTTCCACACATTAACCGCATGGTTTTCATGTGAAGAACACCACAAAACAAAACAAAAATTCATTTAATTTTAGCATGAGCCAATTCAACCAGAGCATGGAGATTCACTTTCGTTCACGGCATTGGAGAGTGTGCAAATGGAAGAATGGTGCAGTGTATAAGAAGATGCCACACTGGAACAGCTTCTCTGAAGCAATGTGATGCCATCGCAAAGCAAAAGAGGATGTAACAACATGAAAAAATGGTTCAAACCACAGAGAGACACTAAAAATATACTAAAATCCACAACAGTTCGCCTTATTTTTCTTGGACCCAAACTGTCAGGGTAACAAAACACTCTTTTGTTTCTTTTTTTTTAAAAAAAGACCTAACATCAATAATTTAACTGTAAATAAATAACACTGTATAAATTCTAAGGAGAAGTAGAATAAATGTTGATAAGGCACTGCCTCTTAGCTCACAAACGGGATATTGCATTCACGTTGAACAGTGTCTCAAACCGCTACACCTGCAGGGGTATTCTGGGTGTATCTTCACAGATTCTTGTATATTTAGCAATTATATTGTTTGTATATGCAAAAACGCTAGCTTGATTTTAAAAAAATCTTTAAAATCTCCTGCAAATTTAATGATTCCTGAGATGAGGAATTCTGTAGTTCTGTGAAAAAAAAAAAGATGACTTTTTTCCTTCAGAGTACTAATATTTTGATGCATGCATCTCACCTTATTTTGATGAACTCTTTTTCCAATTTTGCAAACACTAGGACACATGAGAAGTGAGAATCTTGGGGGGTGGGGGTGGGCATTCATTTAAGGGGGACCCGCTGTTGGGCTCTGACCTGAGCACCACTGAAGATGAAAGGTGGTCGGGCATCGATAGTACTTGGCAGAGGGTGCCCTTTTCCTGTCAACACAAAGCCCTTCATCTAATATTTGTTGCTGTTGCCAATTTTTTTAAGGGAAATGACCTACAGTTTAAAGAAACTGTAACATATACAGTAGTTGCATCACGGGGTGGAGGGGTGGGGGATCTTATCTGTTCTTGCTTTATCCCAGGGGGAAATGCTTGCAGCTTTTAGGAGTGGGTTGGTGCTCTTGTAAGCACAAGTTTGGGAATTTTTTAAAAAAAACTTAAGAGAAATTCTTAGCTAACAGACTGGCAGCACGCTGTAAAAAAATATTACTGCATTGTGTACTGGCTCAAAGATGTAGAATCTTTAAGTAAGCCAATCATCTGTAATCATCCTAGCAGTGTAATATTAGGTTGTTAAGGCTGCTGTGTTTTAAAGGGCATTTTGATTTGGGGTTTTAGTGAAATACTTTAATTTGTTAATTATCTTCATATGAAAGCAGGATTCATTGATAATAGCTCTAATTACATATGTATGAGAAGAAAACACCACAAACACTGGATGATCTAGTTGATTATTTAAGCATAAAATAAATTGTGTTAAAACTCTTCACTTTACATGTATAGTGTGGTGTTTTTTTTTTAACTTCCTGTGCAAATGCTAAGAGTGCTGTGTGGTGAAAATATGATGGCATGCCTGAATGGGTCACTGAGTGACAGTTTTCCTGATTCCCCATGCCTTCTTTCCCTAGATTTCTAGCTCTTATGTTCTGTCATCCACTTTTAGCTGTTGTTCCTTGTTGACACCTTTGTCCCCCTGACACCTTGTCCAAAAAAAGCCAATGGGATTTTGGCCTGCATCAATAGGAGCATAGTGTCTAGATCTAGGGAAGTCATGCTACCCCTCTATTCTGCTTTGGTTAGACCACACCTGGACTATTGTGTCTAATTCTGGGCACCATAATTCAAGAGAGATATTGACAAGCTGGAATGTGTCCAGAGGAGGGCAACTAAAATAATCAAGGGTCTGGAGAACAAGCCCTATGAGGAGTGGCTTAAGGAGCTGGGCATGTTTAGCCTGAAGAAGAGAAGGCTGAGATATGATAGCCATGTATAAATATGTGAAAGGAAGCCACAGGGAGGAGGGAGCAAGCTTGTTTTCTGCTTCCTTGGAGACTATTATTTATTATTTGCTTTATTTCTATACCGCATTTTTCAGCCCTTAACAGGCGACTCAATGCGATTTACATGGTACAATTATCAAACAGTGTCAGTGCAATTAAAACATAACAATGCAACAACAGGATCAACAGCATCAATCCACAACAATTAACAATCAACAAGACAGATCAACAAAACAAACATAACGCCTCAGTTGAAATCAGATCCGTTCTCATAATCCTTGTGCCATTCCTATGTTCCATTTACCGTCTTCCTATGATTGGTTGCACTGCTTAACCAAACGCTTGTTCATAAAGCCAGGTCTTAACCATTCTCCGAAACGTCAGCAGCGAAGGTGCCTGCTGATGTCTGCCGGCAAGGCATTCCATAGCCGAGGGGCCACCACTGAGAAGGCCCTGTCTCTCGTCCCCGCCAAGCGCGCCTGTGACGCAGGCGGGACCGAGAGCAGGGCCTCCCCAGACGATCTTAATGTCCTAGTCGGTTCATAGGTGGAGATGCGTTCGGAGAGGTAAGTAGGGCCAGAACCGTTTAGGGCTTTATAGGCTAAAGCCAGCACCTTGAATTGTGCCCGGTATCAGATTGGCAGCCAGTGGAGCTGGCGCAGCAGAGGAGTGGTATGCTCCCTGAGTGCCGCTCCTGTTAGCAACCTGGCTGCCGAGCGCTGGACCATCTGAAGCTTCCGGGCAGTCTTCAAGGGCAACCCCACGTAGAGCGCGTTGCAGTAATCAATCCGGGATGTAACCAGAGCATGGACTACCGTGGCCAAGTCAGACTTCCCAAGGTATGGGTGCAACTTCAAACTACAGGAGAGGAGATTCCATCTGAACATGAGGAAGAACTTCCTGACTGTAAGAGCCGTTCAGCAGTGGAACTCTCTGCCCCGAAGTGTGGTGGAGGCTCCCCAGATGATCTTAGATTTCGGGGTGGGACGTAGAGGGAGATACGTTCGGACAGATACACTGGACCGGAACCATACAGGGTTTTGTAGGTCAAAACCAGCACCTTGAATTGTGCTCGGAACTGAACCGGCAGCCAGTGGAGCTGACACAGCAGGGGGTGGTGTGCTTCCTGTATGACGCTCCAGTGGGTATCTGGCTGCCGCTCGCTGGACCAGTTGAAGTTTCTGAACAGTCTTCAAGGGCAACCCCACGTAGAGTGCGTTGCAGTAGTCTATTCGAGGTGTAACAAGAGCATGGACCACTGTGGCCAGATTAGACTTCCCAAGGTACAGGTGCAACTGGTGCACAAGTTTTAATTGTGCATAAGCTTTCCCAGCCACCGGCGAGACCTGGGTTTCCTGGCTCAGTGATGAGTCCAGGATCACTCCCAAGCTGCGATGGATGGAATTTAAATGTTCAGATGGAATCTCCTTTCTTGTAGTTTGATGCCATTGTTTCGTGTCCTAGTCTCCAGAGAAGCAGAAAACAAGCTTGCTCCCTCCTCCCTATGAGTTCCTCTCACATATTTATACATGGCTATCAACTCCAATATGCTGATGATAATGTAGTCTATGCTCATTCAGATGAAGGCCTACAACCTCTGTTATAGAACTCCAATATGATAATGATAACGTAGTCTGTGCTCATTCAGAAGGCCTACAACATCTGTTATAGAACTCCAATATGCTGATGATAATGTAGTCTATCTCCTCTCAGCCTTCTCTTCTTCAGGCTAAACATGCCCAGCATCCTGCATATCAGATATTTACATTATGATTCATAACAGTAGCAACATGACAGTTATGAAGTAGCAACGGAAATACTGTTATGGTTGGGGGTCACCACAACAAGAGGAACTGTATTAAGGGGTCGTAGCATTAGGAAGGTTGAGAACCACTGATCTAGAACTTCCTTCCTCTTTTCAGACTACAGTAGTTGTTGTCCCCCCTCAAAAAAATGCCTTTGCCTGACCTCAGTTTCTGCGGGGAAAAAACCTGCTTCTTTTTCTTCTACCAACAGGACAGGAAGTGTGGGAATATAAAAAACAAGAAGTAATCGATTCAGAGGAACAAAATGAGGGAAGAACCTTTATAGAATCCTTTATACCTTAGCAAATATTGAAAAATGCAGCCTGGGGTGTAATCGTATTGTTCAAGCAAAACAAAACATTCAGTTTAAGGAATAAAAGAAACCTTGTACCTTGCAAGTGTGCCAGATGACATAGATTTTAGCTCCATTTTAGCAAACCAAGAAATACAAATTCATTACGGCAACAATCTGATGGAGTTTAAAATCCCCCCCCCCAAAAAAAATTCAAAGAAATCCCAAATAACAATGCTCTAATCATAATTTAGATTTTGTGGGAAAACACCAGATATTTTTGAAATCTCTGAAAAAACGCAATATTTATATACTTTACAGATTGAAAGTCACTTTGTTATTTGAGGACCATAAAATATGCTGTGTGTAACTTGGTCGTGCCTTGGTTTCTCTATGGAATATTGAGGTGGAGAGAGATATTGTTGCAATCTCTCCTATAAGTCCATTCGAGGTTCTCGACATCACCACCGTTTCAAATGCGATTGGTGGAGACAAGAGATAGGGCCTTCTCAACAGTGGCTCCCTGTCTGTGGAATTCCCTCCCCAAAAACATCAGACTGGCCACCTCCCTCCTGTCATTTAGAAGGAAACTCAAGACTTGGCTGTGGGACCTTGCATTTGACCATTAAACCGTGGCTTGGATGAAGAAGACATAAGCAATTTCGGACAATGAATTGACCCGGACCTGGATTTTAATTGGCGTGTTTTAACAACTGTTTATTTAATGTTTTGTTTTAATGAATTTGTTGATTGCTCTTATCATTATGATGGCACCGAATGGTGTTTGCTGTGAGGCCGCCTTGAGTCCGCCCTCAGGGGTGAGAAGTATTACTTACTTAGGCGAGAATGATGGTCCTCCAAGTATAGTATCCTGGCGGTGGGTCCGTAGGTGACTGTGGAACCCTATTCTTGATCTGCATCTTCTCCCACAGTGAGGGCATCAGTTTCCAAGTGGAAGGCAGTCCCACTCTCGGTTAGCTTGACACGCCTTCCTCTTGGCACATTTCTCTCTTTCGCCCTCCATTCGTGCCTCTTCAAATTCTGCAGCACTGCTGGTCACAGCTGACCTCCAACTGGAGCGCTTAAGGGCCAGGGCTTCCCAGTTCTCAGTGTCTATGCCAGAGTTTTTAAGGTTGGCTTTGAGCCCATCTTTAAATCTCTTTTCCTGTCCTCCAACATTCCGTTTTCCGTTCTTGAGTTCGGATAAAAATGTAATGTTTGTTTGTGGGATTAACATAACTCAAAAACCACTGGATGAATTGACACCATATTTGGATAGAATACACCTATCAACCCAATGAGTGACCATCACTCAAAAATTGATTTTGTCATTTGGGAATTGTAGTTGCTGGGATTTATAGTACACCTACAATCAAAGAGCATTCTGAACTCCACCAATGATGGAATTGAGCCAAATGTGGCACACAGGACTCCCATGACCAACAGAAAACACTAGAAGGGTTTGGTGGGGATTGTCCTTGAGTTTGGAAGTTGTAGTTCACCTACATCCAGAGAGCACTTTGGACTCAAGCAATGATGGATCTGGATGGCCCATAGCCAGGATTTCGATTCGGGGGGGGGGGGGGGCTGAGTTTTTTTCAGGAGGTTTCGGGGGGGCTGAGTTTCGGGGGGGCTGAGTCTGAGTGAAAGAGGGTCTACCTAGCAAACCTTTTGTATCATTACCCCAATACCCCCATGCATATGGGATATATTGAGTATGGTGATCAGATCATGATATGAATAAACATAACAGTTTAAATAATGCACCAGTAAGGCCTTTTCGCGAACCACCATGAGAATTTCGGGGGGGGCTGAAGCCCCTCAAGCCCCCCCCCCTCGGCTACATGCCTGGAGAGAAGGAAGGAAGATTCCATATGCCCAAATATGAACACAGATGGAGTTTGGTGGAAATAGACCTTGACATTTGGGAGTTGTAGTTACTGGGATTTATAGTTCACCTACAATCAAAGAGCATTCTGAACCCCAACGACAGAATTGGGACAAACTTCCCACACAGAACCCCCATGACCAATAGAAAATACTTAAGGCCATCCAGTCCAACTCCCTTCACCAGGGCAAGAAAACATAATCAAAGCCCTCCTGACAAAGAGTCATCCAGGCATAGATATAGATAGATATATATGATTCCCACAGAGATATAGTATCATAAACTTGAAAGGGACCCCTAAAGAAGGACAATTATATGTTGCATGTTCTAGAGTGGGCAAACCTGACAATCTCCACATCAACACTGACAAAGAAACAGCAAGAAATACTGTTTACTCACAAGCATAAAGACATTACATATATTAGAAATTAACACTTTTTCGTTACTTTATTTTCCAGATCACCCGAATGGGCCACAGCAATGTGTGGCAGGAGACGGCTAGAAGCTTA